TTTTATAGCATGTTATTCAGTCTCTATGAGTTTGAATGTTTTTGAGTTTTTTTCCTTGAGATTGGTTTCTAGCTTCAAGCCATTATCATCTAAGATGCTTGAAATGATTTCAATTTTCCTGAATATGTTTAGGCTTGTTTTGTATCCTACCCTGTGGCCTATCTTTGAAAATGTTCCATGTACATTTTAAAAGAAAGTATATTTTGCTTCTTTGGGGTGGAAGGCTCTGTATATATCCATTAAGTCCATATGATCTAGAGTGTTGTTCAGTGCCACAATATCCTTGTTGATTCTTTGCCTGGAAGATCTGTCCATTGTTGACAAGAGTTTATTAAAATCCCCTACAAAGAGTGTGTAACTGTTGATATCTTTTTTGAAGTCCTCCAAGATTTTCCTTATATATTTAGGTACTCCTCTGTCAGGTGCATATATGTTTACAAGGTTTATATTTTCTTGATTGACTATTCCTTTACATGTTATGTAGTGAGCTTCTTTGTCTTCTTATGGCCTTTGTTTTGAATTTTTTTGTCTGATATTAGTATTGCTACCCCAGCTTTTTTTTCATCTCTGTTTGCTTGGTATATTGTTTTGCCATCCTTTCACTTCCAGTCTGTGTAGATCTTTATTTTGAGGTGGGTCTCTTGTAGACATCGTATGTGCAGGTCATGTTTTCTTTTCCATTCACCTACCCTATGTCTTTTGATTGGAGCATTTAATCCATTTACATTTAAGGTTATTATTGACAGGTCCTTATTCATTGTCATTTCTTTCTTTGTACCTGTGTTTCCATTCCCCACCCTTATTCTTCACTTTCTTAAAACAGTCCCTTTAGCATCTCTTACAATGCTGGTTTGGTGGAGGTGTATTTTAGCCTTTTTTGTGTTTAAGAAACTCCTTATTTCACCTTCCATTTTAAATGAGAGCTTTACTGGGTAGAGTAGTTTTGGTTGTTTACTGTGGTTTTGATTTGCATTTCCCTGAGGACTAATGATGTGAGCATCTTTCCATATGCTTATTGGCTGTTTTTAAAATCTTTTTTGGGAAAATGATTACCAGACCCTTTGCCCATTTTTAAATTGATATATTTGCCTTTTTATTGAATTTTGAGTTCTGTATATATTCCCTTATCAGATATGTTATTTGCAAACATCTGCTTCCATCTCCCATCCTATAGACTATCATCTCACCTTCTTGGTGGTGTCCTTTGAATTAGAAATATCTTTAATTTTGATGAAGTACAATTTATATTTTCTTGTATTGCTTGTGTTTTTGGTGTCATATCTCAGAATCCAATGCCTACTCCAAGGTTATAAGCATTTACTTCTACATTGTCCTTTTTTGGTTTTATAGGTAAACTCACACTTTTATGTATGCTGTGAAGGAACAGTCCAACTTTACTCTTTGTTTATATCTATTTGTCCCAGTGGTTTGAAAGACTATACTTTCCCCATTGAATAACTGTCTTATCACATTTGTTGAAAATCAATTAACCATAAATGTAGGAGTTCTGGATACCTAGTTCTATTCCACTGACCTCCATCACTATTATTATGCCAGTTCTTCTTTTTTATTTTAAAGATTTTATTTATTTATTTTCAGACAGGGGAGAAAGGAGGGAGAAAGAGAAGGAGAGAAACATCATTGTGTGGTTGCCTATCATGCACCATGTACTGAGGACCTGGCTTGTAACCCAGGCATGTGCCCTGAGTGGGAATCAAACCAATGACCCTTCGGTTCACAGGCCAGCAGTCAATCCACTGAGCCACACCAGCCAAGGCTATTATGCTAGTTCTATGTGGTGCTGAACCCTGTAGCTTTGTGTTCAGTTTTGAAATCAGGAAGTGTGCCCTTCAACTTCTTCCTTTACAATATTGTTTTAACTATTCTGGATCCTTTGTATTTCCATGTGAATTTTAAGATCAGCCTGTCAATTTCACATAATAGGCAGTTGGGATTTGGTAGGGATTGTGAGGAATCTACAGTCAATTTAAGATGAGTTGCCATCTCAATTATAGTATGTCTTTCAATCTATGAACACAGATGTCTCTACATTAAGTTAGGTCTTCTTTACTTGCTTTTGACAATGTTTTGTAGTTTTCAGTGTCCAAATCTTTCATCTTCTTAGTTAAATTTATTACTATTTTTTTGTTATTTTTGATGCTATTGTAAATGAATTTTATTAATTTCATGTTGATTGTTCATTACTAGTGTAGAGAAGTACAATGACTACTTGTATATTGGCATTTTATCCTGCAACCTTGTATTCCTTATTATTTCTAATAGTGTGCGTGTGCACGTATTCTGCAGAATTTTCTAAATGCAACATAAATCATATAGACATACAGTTTTACTTTCTCCTTTCCAATATGGATGCCCTTAATTCTATTTTCCAAGCTAAAAATTACAGTGCAATGTTGAATATAAGTGGCAAGTAGACATCCTTATCTTGTTCCTGATCTTAGAGTGAAAGCTTTGAGCCTTTCACCATTAAGTGTTATGTCACCTGTAGGTTTTTCATAGTCAAAAAGTTCCTTTCTATTCCTGGTTGTGTGTTTTTACCACCAGAGGATGTTGAATTTTTAAAAATGCTTTTGTTGTATCTAGGGAGATGATTATGTGACTTTTGTCCTTTATTCTATTAATATGGTGTATGATGTAGATTGGTTTTCATATGTTGAATCAAGCTTGCGTCACTGGAATAAAACTGGTAATGGTGTGGAATTGTTACAAGTTGTTGGATTCAATTAGCTAGTATTTTGTTGGGGATTTTTGTGTTGCTACTCATAAAGAACACTGATCTATAGTTTCTTGTGATGTCTTTGGTTTTTGTATCAAGGTTGCTGGCCTTATAGAATGTATTAGAAAGTGTTTTATATTCCTCGAGTTTTTGAAAGAGTATGTGAAGGACTGGTGTTAATTCTTCTTTAAACTTCACCAGGAAAGCAATTTGGTCCTGGACTTTTCTTTACTAATTCAATCTCTCTACTTGTTTTAGGTCCAGGCAGATTTTCTATTCCTTCTTGAAGCAGTTTAGGTAGTTTGCATGTTTCTAGGAGTTCGTCCATTTCATCTAGCTTATCTAATTTGTTGACATGCAATATTTTACAGTTTTTCCTTTATACTTCTATTTCTGTAAGGTCCATAGTGATATTTCCTCTTTAATTCTTTATCTCAGTAATTTCAATCTTCTCTCTTATTTTCTTGGTCAGTGTAAAGGCTTGTCAATTTTGTTAATTAGCTCACAGATCAACTTTTGGTTTCATTGTTTTTCTATATTGTTTTCAGTACTCAATTTCATGTATTTCCACTCTAATCTTTATTGATTTCCTTCCTAATGTTGCTTTGTATTTAAATTTGCTCTTCTTTTTCCAGTTTATTAAAGTGCAAAGTTAGGTATTTGAGATCTTCCTACTTTTTTAAAAAAGATTTTATTTATTATTTTTAGACAGAGGGGAAAGGAGGGAGAAAGAGAGGAAGAGAAACATCAATGTGTGGTTGCCTCTCACATGCCCCCTACTGGGTACCTGGCTGGCCACCCAGGCATATGCCTCGACTGGGAATCGAACCAGTGATCCTTTGGTTCGTAGGCCGGTGCTCAGTCCACTGAGCCACACCAGCCAGGGCAAGATCTCTCGACTTTTTTTTTAATATAGGCATTCATAGCTATAAGTTCACTCTAAGTACTGCTTTTAGTTTCATCAAGTAAGTTTTGGTATATGATATATTTTTGTTTTCATAGGCAAGTATTTTTAAATTTCTCCTGTGATTTTTTTTCTTTGACCCACATATTTGTGCATTTCTCAAATTTCCTTGTATGATTAAAATCCTTTTAAATTTAATAAAAATTGTTTTATGGCCTAATACATGGTTAACCCTGGAAAATGTTCCATATGTACTTGAGAAGAATGTGTATTCTACTGTTGTTGGGGATAGTGTTCTATGAACATCTATTATGACTACTTATTTTATGTGTTTTTAAGTCTCCCATTTCCTTGTTAATCTCTGTTGTTCTATCCACTATTGAAAGGGGGTACTAAAGTGTCCAACTATTATTATGAAATTGTGATTTACCTTTAAAAATAACCTGTAGAATACATAACGGTTTGTTATATATCTGGGTATAACTTGGGTTCCAGTCTACTCTGGAATGAATCCAGAGAGTTTTCACTAATTCAAACAGCAAATACTTAAGAAGGCCTCTGAGACATCTATATTTTCCACCCTGCTCTGCTGCACAAATTATTTGTTTTTACTAGTACAAACCTAATCCCAAGGTAAATTCATCATATTAAGTCTGGCATAGATTTCTCATGTGTTCCAAAATGAAACAATATTTCTAGTCTAAAAATAACTGCAGAGAGACTTGTGGCTTAAAACAAAAAGGAGGCCCTAGCCCAAGTAGCTCAGTTGGCTAAAACATCATCCCAACATGCCAAGGTTTCAGGTTCAGTCCTTACTCAGGGCACATACAAGAGTCACCCAACAAATGCATAAATAAGTGGAACAACAAATCAATGAATTGATGTTTCTCTCTCTCTCTCTCTCCCTCCCTCTCTCCCCTTCTCTCTCTCTCTCTCTCTCTCTCACACACACACACACACACACACACACACTCTCTCTCACACCTCCCTCTCTCTCTAAAATCAATTAAAAAAAACCCTAAAAGGAAAGCTGTGAAGGTACTTGAAAGATAGTAGAATATAAGATCACATTTACCTTGGGTACTTAATAAACACAGATTCCTGGGTTACACTCTAGAACCATTAAAAGAAAATTCTCAGGGCACAGCCCATAAACATGTATTTTAATACTTTCTAGGCCATTGTTATACACACACAAAATTTTAAGGATCTGGATTCTCATTGATAAGTATATCAAGCACATCTTTTTAAGGGGAGATTTATCTGTAAGGATACATTTCAATAGTTCATAGAAATGAGTACCTATACATTTTCACAAAAAATACTTAAAAGTATATAAAGTTTCAGAATATGTATTACCTGGACAGATTATTCTGGTATTGAGCACAGGGAGGTTTTCTTTGCTGGTTGCCACAGTTGAACCAGGGCCAGAGTCAGTTTGGGAACGACTTGCCCGACCATCTGGAGACCGAGGTACTGTTTTAACTGTCGGCAAGAGGTCCAGATTAAAAAGAGGAAATGATAAAGTTATAGAAATAAGCAAGCCGCTAAAAATTCAAGACAAAAAACAATTTAATACATGTTTAAACCCATCACTGGAAATGAAAATATTACACTGTGCTTTCCCATTTTATCATTTTGTTTTCATTTTCTTGAGATTTATTATATGGAGAAGCTCTGCCACAGGTAGATATCTTGATCTCTCATTTGAAATAGATGGAGGTCATTAGAAAATATCATCATAACTAAAGGTCAGTAATACTCAAATTTGAATGTGATTACCTCATATGTAAAGATAAAAAGAAATTCTGAAATCTGATTATTTAAAAAAAATAAAACAAGTGTTATCCATATTATCAATGCAATCCTTTTTTTATAAATGTTGAGTGAATGATTGAATTTAATTAATGTAATCCCCAGAACTAATATGTTAAACATGAGTTAAAATTTTCTTCTATAAATGGAAAATAGTAGTTTTTCAAATGAAAGCAATACTTTACCTGCACTTCTCAATTAGTTATTTATTCAAAACAATGATTTGGCCCAAACAGTTCTATCATATTTTGTAAAACCTCAATACATTTTAAAATTGTTCAAAAGAGAATTAGTCTCAAAGTTAACAACAAAAAGAGAGATTTAATATTACCTAAACTGGAGTATTTTAATGGAGTAAATAATTTAGGAGTTATTGGCAGGTGCTTAAAAAAACAGTAATCCTCAAACTCAATTTAAAAATATTCTAAAAATTACGTTTACTCTCCCTAGGACTAATTAGAAACTAACTATATTAATCTTACTCTCTCTTCTCTTTGTTCAATTGCACTAAATAAAAGTAACAGAACAGATACACTTTCTTTTTTGACAGGTGGAAGCCCTGGGGCTAATTTCTAATAAAAACAACCTTTTGATATTCATCTCTGATAAAAAACAGAGAGCATCCTAGTGGCTAAGATTGATGTTTCTTTGCAGGTAAATAAATTAATGTTTCATGCTTCTTCTTAAAAGTTTCATTAGTCATATAAACGTACTGTTTTTTGCACATCTCAAACATATGAATTATTACACAAAATAATGGTAATACATGAGTGTGCTTCATAAAATGATTATTTAATACAGAAACACTTCTTTTGATGATTCTGACTAAATTGGATTATTCACCAACAAATAAGATCAAACCCTGCATCAATAAAGACACATATAATCTGTCATTTCACTATCATTATGTATAGCTCTACATTTGTATTTTTTAGTTTCCTGTGCCAACAACAATAGAAATGTCAAGTTCATGAGATTATTAGTAAGGTGGGTGATAACTAGTTGAAAAACTATTAGCAGTGATTGCTGGAAAACCAATCCTCCAGAAACAGCCATTATCTCAGGGGGAATTATGAAGCAGCATATTGTAATGACACCATTGTCTTCCTCCCTTGAGTCAACATCTTTTCATGGATGAAACATACAAGCCTGCTTATAGAATTCCACATGAAGTAAATTTAAGATGCTAAAAGAAAGCTTCAAAAGACTTTCACAAGATGAAATGATAGATCCAAGTCAAAAAGATAAAAGTTCATAGGAATGAGTGTAAACCACTGTAACAAGATAAAAAAAAAAATCAATTGCACAAAAAACAAAAGGAGGAGACCAAGCTTACATAGTACTATTTTATAATACTTCAAGGCAAAAAGAGAAATCTCGGGTAATATTTACAAAACCGAAAATGTCCAGAATGAGTAGTGTATGCATATGGGTATGCTATTATACTACAGAAATACCTGGAGAATTTGGTTCAAAATGGGAATCATATTTTAGAATAAACAATGACCAAATATATGGGTGCAACCATAAAAACAAAAAGTTTTAAATCATCAAAGACTGCTAGAGGAATTTATGAGAGATAATCTGGAAGAGAAGACAGAAAGTGTGGAAAGAGGATATGGTACCACAGCAGGTCATCTGCAGTATAGTGGAATAACATGTGAAACTGCTTTCAAACTAACCATACAGCACTGCACAGAAGCCATTAGTCATTACTGGTAACATTATCACACATAAAACTTTATTAGTAATAACCGTATTCCATGGGTGAAAATTTAAGGAAGTAAGGTCTAAGGTTATAGAACTGGATTATGTGCTGGAGCAGGTATATATGAATTCTAAAAGGGCTAGTGTTGTAGAATACGCAAGCATTGATTGTACGCCAGACATGTTAAGTTCTATAAGGTCTAATTTGAAGTCTCCTTAGAGTTTTAAATACAATGAAGGCGTATTTTTTTCAAAGTTAATGTAGTTAGTAGCAGTGGCAGCAATAGGAATAATAATGATAATGGCATCAAACCGTCTTATATGGATAGCATTATGTATGAGTCACTGTTCTAGGTACTTTATATACATCAACTTATTAAACCCTCACAAGTGGGTATGTTATGAAGTAGGTACATTATCCTCAGTTTACAGACAAGGAAGCCAAAGAATAGTAATCTACCCAAGTTAATATGTGATGAAAGTAAATGGAATGATTGCAAACATTCTTAAGCATTGACTTTATATTAGTACTATGTAGTTATTTTCATATTAGTTTTCTCATCTTCATTAACATTTCAATTTCTGCTTTTAATCTAGTAAGTTAACCTTTCAATGATATATTAAAACTATAAATCCATCCTCAATTCAAACTTAAAAGGTAGAGAAACGGTTAACATTCTTTAACTACATATTAATTTATTAGTAAAATTAATTTCATTAGTGAAGGGGTTGTAACAAGATACCCTATGATTTTGAAAGCTTAATTTAACAATAAGGATTATCAAACATATATACTGACCAATGGAACTCAAGATACTGATAAATTATTTAAATGCCAAATTTTATGCATGCGGGGCCCACAGCTTTTGTTCTCAAAGGAATATGTGGGCTTAAATAGGTTAAAATCTGATGATATAGGTGTTTTGTTTCTTCAAGAAAACTGTGACATTTAAGCATGTTTGGTCCTACAATCCTTAATTTGCTATGATAATCCCTACATTATATGAGAAAAAGATGTGAAAGAACTTGACCATAGTCTAAATAATGTTACCTTTATTAAGTATTAATGAATAGCTAAGCTTTAAATTTTGAAAAGGCTTGTTGAAGTATTATGCTAAGTGCAATAAACCAGGTGGTAAAAGACAAATATTGCATGATCTCACCTATAAGTGGAACCTAATCAACAAAACAAACAAGCAAGCAAGCAAAACAGAACAGAGACAAGGAAATACAGAACAAACTGACAGTAACCAGAGAGGAGAGGGGGGAGGAATAAAGGGGGAAAGAAAGGGAAGGGTCAAGTCAAGGAGCATGTATGAGGACCCAAGGACAAAGACAAGGGGTGGGGAGAGAGAAGTGGAGGAAGACTGAATAAAGGAGGTGGGGGGTGGGTAGGGCAGGGGAGTGTAATGGAGGATAAATGGGGGCAACTGTGATTGAACAACAAAAAAAAAGAAAATTACAAATAGTTTATTTCAAACTGGGAAGCCTATTGAAAACTATAAGCACTATTATATTTTATTTAATTTCAAAATAAATTTATCATAGTTTTCTTACCAGTTAATGACTCTTTTGCATCATCATCTTTAGATTCTTTAGATTCATCTGTTTCTGTACTATCATAATCAAATGATTGATTAACTGGTTCACAGGGGTGAACTGTCTGGTCTTCTATAACTTTAAGTAATAAGAAGATAAATCCGTTTAAAGAAAAAAAAATAAAATCCATGAATATCAATATATGTTCAGAGAAGAAAAATTGGAACATAAACCAAAATAAATTCCATATTTACAAATAAACACTAATTGACAATAAACTTGGGAGTAATATCTATATGGGCTAGAGATTATAAAATTAAACTGTCAAAATTACATTTTTATTAGAATAAAAAATAAAATATAAAATTTGAGAATGAAATACAAGTCCAATTATAAGTTACAACCTGTAAAGTATTTCTGGGTATTTATTATTTATGTTATGATTAACTTTTAGTCTACTATAAAGATTCTAAGCACATATATATTATATTAACATAAAAATTAAACTATAGGCAGAAATTTTATAAACTCTTAAAAAGGCAATATAAACATTTAGGAAATAAATATTAAGAAAATATTTTCAAAGTAGTATACAGGTTTGATTTTTGTTTAGAATTCAAAGATTCAAATTTTGTAAAAATGTATTTTAAATACTAGAATATTATTTAAACTAATTTTCCATTTTATTTCAATGGTTCTGATGTAACTTTGTTTCTGAGATTTTATGTAACATGTTGATGCTACTAAAACAATAAGTAGGACTATTTACTAGTACAAATTTCACTTTAATAGCTTTATCTTTTATTTTGTGTTAAAAAAATACAAACTTTTTAAGTGTGTACAGACTGACCAATATGAAATTTTCACTGTGTTTGCAATGAGAATGTTGCTAACTTCTTCAAAAGTCAATTTGTTACTGTGTACCTTTTCCTGCTTCTTCGATGACCTGCCGCACAGCTTTCTTTAAACTGTTGGCCCGCATCATTATTTCCTTTGGTTTGACTGCTTTCTGGGAGGAAGGTTTTGTAGTGTCATCCAAGAGTTGTTCCCTGCTTTCACTTAAGGATTCTTCACTTGAAGATTCCACAGTATCTTCTTCTACAATGACAGAGCCAATGCCTGGGAGAACTTCAGCAGCCTGGGAATCTGTGTGCAAAGCCTGGAGCAGTTGTTCAAGCTTCTCATTTAGGACTGAACACTAGGAAAACAAAAAATGTCATAATGAATCTCCTTTAGTGGAGATGAAAAAAATTGTAATTTAAATGAATGGTTTCTGATTTTAGAGGAAAGATGTGACATATTGGTGTTAATTAATTGGCTATTATATATTACTTTAGACAGCCCACAGACTGTCCAAAATAATGGACTAAATAATTTATAATTTAAAAAAATAATGGACTAAATAATTTATAATTTAAAAAAACAATTCTTCTGTAAATTTATATTTCAGAACCAGTCAGGCTCCATTTCATGGATGAAAATCTTTACAATCTTTGTACAGCTATTTTTCCTTAAAACAAAATAACACAACAAACACTTTACTACAAAATGACCATTGCACAAAAATTATACAAAGTTTGCTATACATTATACAAAATACCACATAAACACTTTTTAAAGGTAATTAACTTATGGCACCATCTTGAGCATTACGAGCTGCACGCTGAGTCTAGGTAAGCTCATCTTCAAAGCTTTGGTTTGCAGAAAAGGGAAGAGTGTCTAAGGGATTACTAGCTCAAAGGAAGAGCAAAAAGGAAAACGCACAAGCAACCTGTCCTTCTTTCTTTCTGCTTTCCTTGAATTACTGGGTGCAAAGAAACATTGAGGACTGAACTTCAAACTTTTTCATTCTCTATTAATTTGTCTTTGATGACAGGCCAGGACAAAGTTACAGCAGAAAATGTTAAAAGAAAAAAGTGTCACTATAATATTTGACAGAGGATGCAAGCACAATGGGCTGAAAATAGTTCATTAAATTAATGGTGTTGGGGAATTTGGACAGATATCAGCAGAAAAATGAAACTAGTCCACCTTCTTCACCACACACAAGAATAAATTCAAAATGGATCAAAGACTTAAATGTTAGACCCAAAACCATAAAAATCCTAGAAGAAAACATAGACTGTAAAATCTCAGATATTGCTTGTACCAATATTTTTTCTGATATATCTCCTCAGGCAAGGGAAACAAAAAAAAAAAATAAACAAATGGGACTATATTAAACTAAAAGTTTTGCACAGTAAAGGAAAACATCAACAATATAGATAACCCTTGGAATGGGAGGACACATTTGCTGATATACCTAATAAGGGGTTAATATCCAAAATTTATAAAGAACCTATAAAACTCAACACCAAACAAACAAACAAACAAACAAAAAACAATCTAATCTAAAAATGAGCAAAGGACCTGAATAGACACTTCTCTAAAGAGGACATACACGTGGCCAACAGACATATGAAAAGATGCTTGATATCATTAACCATCAGAGAAATACAAATAAAAAACACAATGAGGTACCATCTCACACTTGTCAGAATGGCTATCATCAATAAATCAACAAACAACAACTGCTGGGGAGGAAGTGAAGAAATGGGAACCCTTTCGCACTGTTGGTGGGAATGCAGACTGGTGCAGCCAGTCTGGAAAGCAGTGTGGAGATACTTCAAAAAATTAAAAATGGATCTGTCTTTTGACCCACCAATCTCGCTTCTGGGAATATATCTAAAGGAACCCAAAACGCTAATTCAGAAGAACATAAGCACCCCTATGCTCACTGCAGCATTATTTACAATTGCCAAGATATGGAAGCAGACCAAGTGTCCATCAGTAGATGAGTGGATAAAACAACTATGGTACATATATACACAATGGAATACTACTCAGCCCCAAAAAAAAACAACAAACAATACCATGCATGGACCTGAAGATTATTATGCTAAGTAAAATAAGCCAGTCAGAGAAAGACAAATACCATATGATTTCACTCATACTTGGAATCTAATGAACAAACTGAACTAACAAGCAAAACAGAGATAGACTCATAAATAAAAAGTAGGATGGCAGCTTTGGGGTGGATAATAGGATGTGGAAGGACTGAGGAAAAAGGAAAAAGGACTCATGGATATGGACAACAGTGTGGTGATTGTAGGGAGGAGAATGGTATAAGGGGGATAAATAGTAATGGAAAAAATACAATTAAAAAAATTGTCAGTAGAGAGGGTTCTGTTTTCTGAAGCTCTCCACAGAGGAGAACAAGAGAAAGGCTGAAAACTTCAAATGTATGTTTATTTCTATTTTCTTTTTCTTCCACTCAATTAACCCACCATCTATACCATGAATCTGGGGGAGATCACTTCTTTGCAAGGCTAAGAGAGCCCAGTCTTTTGTAAAAATGCCTTGCCATGAATGCATGAAAGCAAAGACAGTAGCAGCTTTTAAGGTTCAGTAAACTACTCTCCTTTTAGCCTCGAGAAAGCCCTCAAAGGGGAAAGAAATCTATAAAGATAAAGGCAAAAACAGAATGCTGAAAGGTCTTTGAGGACTGGGAAGTCTATAGAATCTGAGGAACCGTACGTGTAGGGCACTGACTGGCCAAAGTCTGCCTGAAATGGAAGGCCATTCCTCCCTCCCCGGGAACCCCGGTCACCCAGCATTCTCCGCCAGTGACCTGACTATCGTGCATTTCTCCTTCCAGATGTCAACGAGTGGGCATGCGGAGTTGTGTTATAAAATTCAGTTTGTCAGATGGCCTTCAGCAATAAAGTCTTCCTACACCTTAAAGGGTTACCACAAAATTGAACGTTTTTAAACCATCATATGTGATTCAAAAGTAACTTTTCTTTTGATTTATGATGTGTTGGCAGGAAAACCACTTAATTTTTCTATGAAACAAGTTCAATGTTAACATCATCAGTGAAAATCTTTCATGCCCTGTGTGAGTCCTTACTTTATTGGCCACAGCATCAGCTACAACAGCATTTTCCAACGTTTTCTCATATGCCTTCTCTACTTTAGCAACGAAGTCCTTTACAGTTTCACAGAGTATCCTTTGAAGACAAGAAATTGTAAATTCAGTACACTCAGTAGGCTGAACATATTAAAAGTAAGGACAACTAAGCAACCTCTCAATATGGGATCACTTGTATATAAACCCATAATTCTATCTGCTGTTTGACACATCTTACATTAAGACATTCTAAGTGATGAATGGATACATGAAGAAACCTAGCTGTACATAATTTAAATAAATGCAGTTTCAAGGTAGTAACAAGACTTTGTCAAAGAGTTACATTATATCTTGATAAGAGTATTTTTAGGTCCACTTTAAAAACACAGCATCTCCTAAGCATGACCTAATTTCCTAACAACAGGAAAAAACCGTCGCGTTTGTTGTCACTGTCACTCTACTGCTCGCCCTAGCAGTATCTTGATGATACATTGTTCCTGAGGAGAAAACAGTGTATTATGCTAGATACCAACCTTGAATTGAGTTATATTTTCTGTAAATTAATTCATTTCTTTCCTTAAAATAACATGCAAGATTAATTTAATTCAGGTCTTGTTAGTGCCTATGCATATGGTTTACTTGTTTCTTTAAATTACATTTGGTTTCTTTGTAATAGAATAGAAGAAAAAATGATTGGAAACAAATCAAACAAAATAACAAAATTTGTTTTTCAAAGGTCTTTAGAGCTGGTGTTATATTAAAAACAACCACCAACAAGCAGAAAGGTACCCTATGACCAGCTTTTTGTAGCAAAGGCTAACAGTGATTCTGAAAACAAAATCAGACTATATAAAAATAATATGAATAACTATGTGGTGATTGTGGGGGGAGGTGGAGGTGGCAGGGGGTATAAGGGAGATAAATAGTAATGGAAAAACTACAATAAAAAAAGAAAAAATATTTCTCTTTATCATTGGTATAGACTGAGGAATTTGAAGAAGCAGGGGGCAGGGGAGGACACATTCCAGCAGTTCTTCTGGAATTTTCACAATTCTCTCTGGTATGTAAGTGACACAATAGTTAAGTTTCTAGATGCTTAAGTATTACGAAATCAAGCCATTCAATGGCTACAGGATTCTTTCTCCAAAGCTTCACATTTATCATCAAGGAAATACATGCACTGCTCCTAACAGTTTTTGTTTTGTTTTTTGTCAACCATTTCTAGAATTTACTTGGACAAAATGTAGTATTCTCTAATCCTCAACTTTTTTTGATTGGCCTTTAAACTCAAATTTCTGCAGATAATATTTGGCTTACTATTTATTAGAGATACATTCGTCTTCATATCATCTTTTGTCTTCTTTGTTCATGTATAATGCTCTTATGGAATTTATGGAAATACTAAGGCAGGCTATCATAGGATTGCTTCCACAGCCCTTATTGACAGTTTCTCCAAGAAGTCCCACTTGCAGGGCGAGGAGACCTGACAGTTCCTTCTCTTTATGTAACTTCAAAGTAGAAGTCTCTCTTACCACTATCACAACACTGTCTTGATATAATTTTCTTTTGGATTTATGAAACTGTATATGCTATAACATTGGGATAGCTACATTGCTGGTATTTTACTAATTCCTAAGGACAGAGCCACTTGTCCATCCACCCAGGAATGAAAGGGGCAGCAGGAGTGCCTTCCCTCAGTTGTGCGAGGCAGCTGGGGCAGGTGGAGGCCGAAGGACAGAGGGCGATTCTGGGTTGTGACAGTGCTTGCCACATATGTTGTAGGAAGAATCAGAAGAAATGGTCTATCACATGGTCCATTAAATTCCACATTCCAGAAGACCTAGGATATTGGCATTCTGAAGGTATGAATTAACTTTTTATTATACTTAAATAGTAAATGTAGAATTCTTAAAATAGATATATAGTTAAAAATAGCACAATTTTAAAGTCACACCAATTAAGAACTTACAAACCAGAGTAAAAAACCTTTAAGATGTATTTGCAATAGTAACACAAAAGACATTCTCCAACTACTTGAATGCATAAAGACTTCCAGAAAACATGTGCAAAAATCAAATAAATCAAAGTGAAACATGAATTTTTCCCATAGAGCAAAAAATATTTAAATCCCTAATTCCATCTTTCATTAATGACAAGACAATTTTGGTAAGATATTGCAAACATTTTTGTCTTTAGCTCTGTATTCCTTTGAAGTTGAACAGTTAATGGTGTGTATCACAAATGCAGTTGAAGCTGAATCAAAGTGAAACATGAATTTTCCCCATAGAGCTAAAACTATTTAAATCCCTTATTACATCTTTCATTAATGTTAAGACAATTTTGGTGAGATATTTCAAACATTTTGTCTTTAACTTTGTATTCCTTTGAAGTTGAAGAGTTAATGGTATGTATCACATACACAGCTGAAGCTAACAGCAGTCCACATTTAGCATGCTTTATGATTCCTACCATCATTTCAATTATATTCTATATGTGATCTGTACTTCTTATCACTAGTAACAGTATCTTCATTTATCAGTTTTCCACTTATATTTTAAAGTAGGGGCAAAACAATAAAAGACGCAAGCATTATGCTAAGGTAAATATGGCCATGGTGCCCAAAGAGAATCACATATTGGCAGGCAAGGGTCATCCAATGACAACCTGAAAAATTCATTTCTCACGTGATATGAAAAGTTTTAGTCAGAAATTAAAGGTGATTTAAAAGTATCAATGCCTAATATATAAACAAACCCTAGCTAGCTCTGTGCTCTAAGGAAAGATTCTAACAGCCATGTACTTTACCATATCTACTCAATGAGGGGCTTGCCAAAATTATCTCTGTGGTAGATATCAAAACTAAAATTTTCTGGTTCTGTGACAATGGTTCCTACCTTATTATTTTTTCTTGCCAGCGATCTTTATTTTTGAAAAGTTCTGTCCATGGAATAAATTGCATTTATTTAATAACATTGCTTTTCATTTTTATTCACAATATCTATGATTGCTAATTACTACTTTTGATTCTTAGTGCATCTAATTCTCAGAAGTTAACTCACATTACACATAGAACTGACAAAATTCCAGTAAAAAAAATAACTTTCTTACTTATACATTATCTATGCTAATGGAGACAATAACATTATCTATGCTATGCTAACAGAGTTTTTCCATTAGCATTTTCAACATTTTAAAAAGTTAAAAAGAGATCTACTTAAAATGGCAGTGGAGTGAATGGAGGTCACACTGACCTCTTCCTAGACCAATCTGGAATTACAATTAAATTGTGGAGAAATCATCAGGAACAAACAACTGAACAATAGTGAGAGGGGAGCCTTGTAACATCGGACACACAGAGGAATCGGTTTTAGCACAACCTAACTGGTAAGGAGGGTGATAGAGACTTGAGGAGATGGGCTGGGCACCGACAGGTGGCAGCACCAGAGGGATATATAAACGGCACGTTGGATCCCCCTGAGAAGAGTGGAGTCTGAACCATAGGTGGGGATTTCCAGCCCACAGCACCAGAGCCCAAAAAGTACACAGATAACAGCCAGATACAAAAAGTGGCAAGGTTGCTCTCTGCCAGAATGGGTGGCTGGTGATGCAAAGAAAAGATAAAGCAGGCAACACACAAGTTTTTGTTTGCAGACACTTACCCTGGGCTCTGGCAAAGATGGGGACAGAATGGGCTGGAGACACCAGAGAAACTGTGTAAGTAGGCTTTAGGGAGAGAACTGAGGGAGCTGCCAGTGGGAACCCAGTGCTGACTCCTCCCCCATATATCAGCAGCCATCTTCCCCAGGCAGACCACTCTCCTGAGCAGCAACAGCATGAAAGGACACAATAACCGTGCCCACAGGAGAGACTATTCTCCACCCTGTGGTGCCTAAGCCTGACTGTTGAGTGCAGGGTGACTAGATTAACAACTGGAGCAGACAGCCACAGACAGTAGATTCCTGGAAGTCTCTAAAAGACTGCCTAAGGTCATATAGGGCCAACAGCTGACATCATCAAAGGCAGATCCAGAAAGAAAAAAAAGCAGTCTCCTGCCATAGCAGTTCACGCCTCAAAGTCAGGAAGTCAAGACAGATCCATTTAAGAAGCAGAAGCAAAAAGAAGAGTCTCACATATAATGAGAAGACAAAGAAACACCCCTCAACTGAAGGGAAAGGAGGAATCCCCAGAAAGAGAACTAAATGACATAGAGGCAAGTAAACTACCAGATACTGAGTTCAAAACAATGGTTCTAAGGTAGCTCAGTGGGCTCAGTGAGATCAGAGAGAATTATAGGGAAACTATGAGGAACTTACTGCAAACCATATCCACATGAAAAAGGACATAGAAACTGTCAATAAGAGACAAGAGGAAATGAAGAACACAATTTCTGAATTGAAGAACACAGTAGAAGCAATCAAAAGCAGGCTACATGAAGCAGACAATCGAATCAGCGAGCTCTAGGATAAGGTAGGAAAAAAGCTCCCAGAAAGAGCTAGAAAATGAAAAAAGACTAAAAAAGAATGGGGAGGCATTTAGCGAAATGCAGGACAAACTGAAACCTACTAATATCCATATAATAGGGATATGAGAAGGAGAAGAGGAGGAGGAGGAAGAGATAGAGAACCTGTTTGAGAAAGTAATGATGGAAAACTTCCCTCACTGGAGGAGAGAAAAAGTCACACAAGTCCAGGAAGCACAGAGGGTCCTGTTCAAGAGGAACCCAATGAGGCCCACTCCACACACATCACCATTAAAATGGGGTTACTGCTATAATGATCCTGTTTGCATCTGTCCAAATTTCATAATATTAATTCTATTTATTTAAAAATATGAGCGGATCTTAAAGGTTCTCATCACAAGAAAGAAAAAGTAACCATGTAAGGCGATGGATGTTAACTAACTGAACTTATTGTGGTAATAATTTTGCAATGTATACATATGGCAAATAATTATAATGTACACCTAAAACTAATATGTCAATTATATTTCAATTCAGAAATTAAAAAAAATATTTAGAATGTGTAGGCATCAGGAATCAAACACATGAAGGCCAACAGTAAGGTTATGCTAATCTCCAAACTATGAAATCTGACCAGATAAAATATTTACTTAATGGTATTAAAGAATAATTCCTTTATAAGTTTATATACCATTAAAAAGGTTCCATTTCAACTTTTTAGCTTTTCTATCAATGTCCTCTAAAACACCCTATAAAGAAGCTCTTGATTCATAGGGCAAGGGCGGCAAACATTTCCATGTCTTCCTTGAAGAAGTAATTTAGGAAGCACCTAAGGAAGCAACTTAGGCATATGAATTTGGCCCAGGATGACAAAGTCAATAGTAAGAGCTGGGCATGGGACAAACTTGTGATCTGCATTTTCACCATAAAGCAATACTATTCACTAAAAAACACCTAAGCAAACAACATAAAAAACACCAGCACCCCCTGCCATCACACAAACAGCATCTGCTGCCCACCTGTGCGTACAACCAGGATGCTTCCCTTGCAGGCCACTCAACTCTTTTCCTATTGCTCAGTCTTGTTTCCTATTTCTCGGGGGTCACAGCATCAAAACCAGTTGTCACTACAATTTGCTTTTGTCACAGCAAATTTATTTACACTGATTTGTCTTTCCTTAACTTTTTTTGCAAATTAAGTATATACTATACTAAAGTTTGTGATTTTTCCCCTACCACTTCCCCACTCCCTTTCCTCCTTCTCCCTCTTCTTCTCCTCTTTCTGCATAATAGTAGTATTTCCTTGCTAAGCCAGTGCCCTAAAGCATTCTTTTACTTTTGCTTATCAGTTGAAAATTTCAGTTGCTGTCATCCCTTTCTCTAGTTAACTTTCCAATCTTCCTACTTCAGATTAGGATGCCTGAAAACTAAACTCTAAATTCCAGCCAAGCAACATTTGGGATAATGAAATCAAGTAGCTTTGGCTCCATGTACAGAATCAACTTAATTAAAACCCAGTAACTCCAAATTAAAATACAATTAAGCAATTTAAACATCCTGAGAAAAGTCATTTTGAAAAAAAATCTCATCATTGTTTTTCTTTTCCAGATATAAACAGTTCTAAAACAGTAGTGTCTATGGAAATAATAAATTATAATAAAATGTGTTTTCTGTATTATAAATAATCATAAATAATTCTTTAAATTATATTTATAGAAGTATTACTCTAAGTAAGGGACTTAGAGTAATTAAACTCTAAACATTTACTGCACCCTTTGACAAAAAAAACCTTTCAAATTAAGCATTAAAAAACACCCTCTAAATATTCTCCACTATAAATAAGATGCTAAGATAATTTTTTTAATAAGCAAATTTAGTTTGTCTAATCCAATATGCTACTACAAAGACAGTTTTTGGAAGTCAGAACCAGCTTTCCTTTCATCTTCATCATACAACCATTTCATGACATCACTCACTTGGCAGATGATATGACTACTGCATGTTCATCAGAATTAAGGATTTTTGTAAGATGAGCTGCAACTGAGTCCTCATAAAGTGTCATCTGAAAAAAATTTAAAAACTGCATTGTGTTACTATTGCTGGCAATTATACAACTCGGTTATTACTGCTTCAAAAATGGGATGACTTGTGACACCTGACACAGGGTAATGGCTACAAACAATATATAACAAGAGTCATTATACAAAAACAGACAGATATTTCCTTTCTGTGAAAGTTTTTAGTTTTTGGAATTCTTTAGTTTATACTCCAGAAAAACCCATAAAACCCCTTTTAATATCTTTTAAAATGTCAAAAGGCTGGATATATCAAGTATTCATACAATTGAGTACAAAAATGCCAGACAACTTAATAAGCATGGGACAAAGACTAGAAATTTAAAATAGATATCCAAATGGTTATAAACAGATGAAAAGGTGTTCAGCCTCATAAGCCATCAGGAAAATGTAAAGTAAAGCCACAATGTGATACCACTATGTATCTGCCAGAATAGCTGAAATGAAAACAACAATAATCAGAAAATGTAAAGTATTGGCAAGGGCAATAGAACTCTCATACTTTGCTGGTGGAAGCAATTAATATACATACTCTCCAAAACTTTGGGTAGTATCTATTAAAATTGAATATATGCATAATACCACTGGACCTAGCATTTCAACTTCCACATATATGCCCAAAAGAAATGTAGATGTATGTTCAGCAACAGACACATACTAGAATGTTAATAGCAGCATTCACTCAATGGTAGAATAGATAACAAATTATACAATGGTATATTTGTGCAATGGAAAACTATAAAGTAATGAGAATACATGATTTATAACTAAACCACAATATAGATGAGTCACACAGAACATAATGTTGAGTGAAAGAATTCAGAAACATAGGAGGATATACAAAATGATTCTATGTTATAAAGTAAAAAAACAGACAAATCTAATTTATGCCGTTGGAAGTCAGGATGTCAGGATGGTGGTTACTGGGGTGGGAGGTGGGGGTGGTGAATGAAAGGGGGCATGAAGGGGCTGCATGTGGGGCTAGGAATGCTGTGCTGTGGTCTGGGTGTTGATTACATTTAGTTTGTGGAAATTTGTCAAGATGAACATTTATGGCATGTACCCTTTTCTGTATGCAAAATTCAACAAAGTTTTTTAAAAATGCTGAATGCACTGTCATACAAGCATGTAAATAAATAGTTCTTGCAAATACGAAAATAATCAAATGCTAAAGGAGTCCCATATCCCCTTTTATATTGAACTCGAACTTTCACATTCTTTTCAAAGGACATACCTTCTTAATATATGAAAATGTGTACAATATTTAAACAATTTCATATTGAGAGCCTCCATCAAATGTTTGCCTCAAATACTGCATGGCACAATGGCTCAAAAATTTTCATTATAAACCATCTATTCTATTCAGGCCAGCCTCCTACGCTCTCCTGTCTGACTCAGATATCCTTTCAACGCTTTTTACTAATCAGCATCAATTTATTCAGACTTAACTAAAGATTCAGTTACACTCTTGCCCCCTCAATAAAGCCTTCCTGACTAGGTCCCCCAAAGGGACCTCATTCCTGATTAAAGTCCAATTCCACCAGTGGCTAATCAGTATATTGTTACTCTTTTAATTTTCTATCTTACTTTTTTTCAAAGGCAAACCACATATGAGAAAAAATTTACATGAAGGAAAGGTGGGAAAAAGGAAATAAAGGAAGCATTTTTTCAGAAAGATTAGTTATATTTCTTTTCCCTATATGATAGATTGCCTTAAAGCCTAAGAAGGTAGAGAAAAAGTACTATAAACTATCATTAATTTTATTTGAATTTGCATTTAAAAACCCAAGTTTTTGCCCTGACTGGCGGAGCTCAGTGGGTTGGGTGTTGTCCTGCAAAAAGAAAGGTCACGGGTTCGATTTCCAGTCAGATTGATGTTTCTCTCCTTCTCTTTCTCTGTCCCTTCCCCTCTCCCTAAAAAATAAATAAAATATTTTTTTAAATAAATTTTTGTCCATTAAAAATAAACAAAGGGAAAGAATACAACCTCTTCCAGAGGAAAATGAAATAACCTCTGTGTCCAAGGGTAAAATTATTGATACCACTTACTAATCTATTATGTAGTCATTTAGTTGAGTTGCAAAGATAAGGTAATAATAATAATAATAGTTTACATTTTTTAAGTGTGTATCAAGCACTGTGATTAAACACTTTGTATATCTTTATTCCATTACATGTCCTGTTCCACAGTCAAGGAATGCAAGGCTCAGGTGAACTGAGTGATTCGCCCAAGGCCCACAGTTAACGGAAGAGCAGACAGGCTAGGGGCCCGGTCTGAGGACGCCAGCGCTTTTCCCATCTCACTGCCCCCTCCCCACCCCCGCCCACAGCAAGTCCTGGTCCTTGCTTAACTGTATTTGTTAAATATAAGTATTACCATTTTTCATATGTATCATTGTAACAGCCTCCTTACTGAGCTTCCTAAGTCTCTCCTGCTTCTTTTCAACCATTCTCCAGTTTACAACACAGTATTAAAACAAAACAAAAACCGTATCTGATCTTACAATGTCCCTGCTTAACAATGTCTCAGTGGATCTCTCCTACTTTCTAGATAGTGTCAAAGCCCTTCAGCTAACAAGGAAGACCTTCCATAATTCCAAAGACTTTCCATGATCTGATCCTCTCTTTCCTCTCTGTCCTGTCTTTTGATGCTCTTTCCTTGCCCCGGATGTTCTAACTCTACAGAATTACTTGTAGTGCCACAGATCTATCAAGATAGTCATTATCATGTTCTATGTAATGCTCCTTTTCAAATGGCTTATCCCTGCTTTTCTTCTTCTGTGCTGAAAACCAAGTTTAGGCACAAACCCCTCTATAAAGACTTCAATGAACTTGCCAGGCCAACAAGCCTCTCTTCTGAGCAATGATTATACCCTGAAAATAACCCAAACACGACTGCTCATTTCCTAGTCTATCCCTCCCACTAGACCAGAGATTCCCAAACTTTCTGAGTTCATGGCATCCTGAATGTCTGAATGATTTTGTCACAGTGTCCTTAGGCCAAAAGAAATACCTAACAGTAGTTAATTCTAAACAAATTAATAAGTATTTATGTCCTAACAACTTAATAACCATTTTAGAATAACACATACATTAAAAGAAAAAGAAAATCTTATTTTCTTAAATAACTAGCTGTAAGCCTGTCAGTACTATATATACGTGAAACCTTGGAATCAGATTGGTTAGTGACGTCCTCATTTCCTATTCCACACAAACTTTTGTGTGGTGTTTGTTTTTTACCACAGTAACTACTAAAAACCCAGCTTCACAGTAAGATGATGTCATCAAAAGGAATGTAGTGCAGCCTAATGTTCAAAGTGTGCACTACCTCAAGCTAGTAGTTTGCTCAGCATCCAACAGATGTTGAGTATTACCACGTGTCCTTTGAATTTAAAAATATCTCATGGTAGCCCTCTGAGTGCACTGAGGTGCCCTGAAGCACAAAGCTTGGCAACCACTATTCTAAGCTGATTGAAGCAAGAGGGTCTTTTATTTCCAGTCCCAGGTACTGGCACTTAATCTTGTTAAATGAGTGGAAGAGAGAATGAAATTACAATTTCTTAGCATGCTATTACCAGGCATCTAGAAAACCAACAGAATTGATGGGAGATAACTTTTATTAGTCTATCAGAGTAAATTTAAAAGTAAACTAATAGGAAGAATTTTGTTAAGGCCATTCTTTCCCGTTTTCAGGGAGATGATTGAGGTTCAGCAGTTCTTACCTTCTCTTTGACTACCTTGGCATTAACAAACAAGCATCTGTTGTCTTACTAGACTTGTACAGTTGAGATATGATATGAAAGAGACCAAAAATATGACTCCTGCACCAAAATGTTTTTACTCCAATTGGAAAGCAATGGGAATCTGGCTTCTAAGAAATAGGCAAGGCCACAGGGCTTTGATGCCAAGATGCCATTGTTCCAAAAGGGTTTGGTCTTTACATCAAAATTTAACAAGAAGAATTTTGTTATTCTGCCAGTTATAGTGCTAGATGGCAATATACTGGTGAGTGAATAACACACTGCCTGATCTTTACAGTATCACAGTACCAAGATAATGGAAGGTGAACAGGACTATGTAACTACAGAGGAAGAACACAATACTAGGATGTGAGAGAGCAATGGCTGCTTGGAGCAAGTGATACCTAAGCTGAGACCCAAGGTGGGAGCAGGAGTGAACTAACAAGCTGATGCCAATGGAGGGATAAAATTTTTTCACAAATGGATAGAGTAAAAAACATGATGGGCATGGGAATTGTACATTAAATGTAAATAATACATTTTCTAATACTGAGTATTAAATAACAGAATCACTCTTACTGAAGGAAAGCAAGAAATCAGTCTTTTTACAATGTTTAAAAGTACAACAGCAAATAGGAGTACTTAATTATGGCCGTAAAGAATTAATCAAGGAAACGGTCACAATTCTTTAAGCTCTGTAATTCTACAATCTCTGAAACTCTCTGAGCTTCCTGACCTTCCTGAAAGTCTATTTCATTTGGCAGATTGGGAAGTTCTCCTTCATCATTTGTTCAAGTAAGTTTTCAATTTCTTGCTCTTCCTCTTCTCCTTCTGGCACTCCTATGATTTGGATATTGTAATATTTAAACTTGTCCCAGAGGTTCCTAAGCCTCTCCTCATTTTCTTGAATTCTTGTTTCTTCATTCTGTTCTGATTGAATGTTTATCTCTTCCTTATGCTCCAAATTGTTGATTTGAGTCCCGGGTTCTTTCCTCTCACTGTTGGTTCCCTGTATATTTTTCTTCATTTCACTTTGCATAACCTTCACTTTTTTCTCCATTTTGTGACCATACTCAACCATTTCTGTGAGCATCCTGATTACCAGTGTTTTGAACTCCGCATCTGATAGATAGGTTGGCTATCTCTTCACTGCTTAGTTCTATTTTTGGAGCTTCGATCTGTTCTTTCTTTTGGGCCATATTTCTTTGTCTCCGTGTACCTGTTAGGTTGGAAGAGGTGGAGCCTTAGGTATTCGCCAGGGCAGGGCAACCCAGGTCGCTGTGTTGTGGCACTGTATGTAGGGGAGGGGTCTGAGAGGGAACAATGTTGCTCACTTGGCTCCCTGCCAGCTTTCAGTCATTTCCCCTGTTACCCGCAAACAAAGTGGGCCCTTCTGGTGCTGACTGCTGGGTGGGTGAGTTTGTGTACTTTCTAGGATCCTGTGGATCTCTCCAATGGACTCTCTTGTGAGGCCCAGAGTTTCTCCTGCCACCTTAACCCCCACAGGTTATTACAGCCAGAGGTTTTGAGGCTTTCTTTTCCTGCACTGGAGCCCTGGGTTGCACATTCTGTTTCGCTCCTCAGGTGTTCCTCCCAGTTTATCTGCACGCAAATGTGGGACCGTCCGGTCCCCGAGCTGCCACCTTGCCATGCGTCCTCTCTGCCCGGTTGCCTGCCTCTGTCCCTCTTACCAGTCTGATCAATGTTTCTTCTTTAGCTCCTTGGATGTCAGACCTCCATACAGTCCGATTTTCTGACAGTTCTAGTTATTTTTTGTTTTTAAATTGGTGCTTGTCCTTCTTTTGGTTGTGGGAGGAGGCAAAGAGTATCTACCTACGCCTCCGTCTTGACTGAAGTCCTGAGTTAACCTTTAATCTTAAGGCATTCTATCCCGTTGTTGTGAAATAGTTTAACAAGAAACCAAAATAAATAAAAGTTCATTCAAAACCCTTTTATATTAAAAAAAAAGAGGTTTCTTCTCTGTAGCTATAATTGTACCTTATATATAGTGGCCATATATGTGGTAAAAGTAAACTGTCTACCTTTTTCTTTTTCAATGCTAGGAAATAGACATCTCTGAAGTAAGCAGAGCAAAAAAGTTCCCCCTTTGTCTCTTTGGAGAGAAAATAACATTTACAAAAATACTGTTAAGAAAAAAGAACAGTTCCTATCAAACATGTATTATGTTTATAGTTGGATAAAATAATACTATAATCCTGGTCACATGGCTTGGTAGGAGCATTATTCCATGCACTGAAAGCCTGATGGTTCGATTCTCAGTCAGGGCACATACCTAGGTTGTGGGTTCAATTCCCAGTTGGGGCACATGCGGGAGGCAAATGATCAATGTTTCTCTCTCACATTGATGTCTCTCTCTTTCTCCCCCCCATCCCCGCCTTACTTTCTCTCTAACATCAATGGAAACATGTCCTCGGGTAGGGAAACAAACAAACAAATAACATTGTAAATAAAAATTCTGCTGGAAATCAAATAGTAAATATATTAATTAATCTTTAATAGTAATTATCTCTGGGTGGCAAGATTATAAGATTTTTACTTTCTTTTTCATATATTTTCGTATTTTCAAAATTTTTAGAAGCAGTTTTTGCTACCTTTATATCAGAAAAAGTTTTTCAAAATTCAATTACCTTCTTTAAGGAAGAACCCCATGTTCCCAGTTACCATTCCTTTCCTTACTTTGACAAAATCATAATTTTCTTAATGACAAAACAAAGATTTCAACTGTAAAATAAACAGATGAATTTTCCTTGAGGGAAAAATAAGCTATCATAGATCAAATGATCTTAGTCAGAGAATAATCCTTTGAAAATTTGGATCTGTTTTACATCTCTAGAGCTTTGAGTTTTAATCAGGAAAATCAACCTTTAAGAAGTCTAAAAACTGTACTTATTAATGGTTTATAGCAGGGGTGGAATAAAGTACACTGTTTTCTTCCTTTGTTTTATCTCGATTAACAGGCTTAACCTGTAGGCCTGTTCTGATGAACCCTCAACAAAGCAGGCAAAGCAGGAAGAAATTATGTAACACTCTGGCCACAAGTATTGGTGTGTTTCAAGATTATTAAGAGAGAGGGGCTAACCCCCAACAATTACTCAGGTGTTCATGGACGAAGCAGAAGATGAGGAAACACTAACAGGAATCTGCCATCAGCTGGCCTTCCCTGGAGCCCTGTTGGTTAAGAGAAAGCAGGTAGGTGCAATATTTAGGGAGAAATACTAGAGGTGACTGCAGGGGGATTTGCATGCCTGGTGTTTGCACACATTCATTATCTTACTTAATCCTCACAACAGGGTCATCTCACTCTACAGATGAAGTAACAGAGGCCCATGAAGGTGAGTGATATGGCTAAACTCTCACTCACTGTGGGTGTTCACAGAAGGACTCAAACCTAGATGGTAAGGACTCTTTCCTCTAGGAGAGAGGCCTATGAATAATCAATGAGACCATACCCAAACCAATAAAACATAAAATTAGATAAACATGCTACCGTGTCTTATAGGCTTTCTTATTTGTTCAAGATATTCATCCCCATTTCCAAATGATAAATAGGTAAAGGGTTAAAGTCTTACATAAAATTCTTCAGATGCATCTGGAGGTTCTGGAAGTAGAGAAGCCTTTGGTGGCAATTTGAGTTCATAGGTCATTATACTCCACCTGAAGGGAGAAACATCTTTGGTCTAAAATTCCTTTAAAATTTAATAAACTGACTTTGTTCTCACCTCATATACAAAAATATGCACATATATTTATGAACTATGGTTTAATGTATCTAAAACAACAAAATATGACTGAATGTAAACGTACTTGAAAAATAAAATAAATAAAACAACCAAATATGGGATAAGAGATAAAATTTTGGTAATTTCATGAAATGCTGAATTCGTAGGTTATGATTTCCATATCTTATCAATTCTGTTATTAGTGACTTCAAAACTTTTTAAGGCCATGACCCAAAGTAAGAAATGCATGTACCTAACACTTCCCCTTCTTCACCAGATGCAACCCATTGGCTTTTCTATTGTTGTCTGTTTCACTTCTAAAATAATGTTCACTGTATTTTACTAACTAGATTATAAAGTTACTTATAGATCACAACTCAAAGTTCTAAAACAACATCCTAAGTTAAATAGATGCTTACTACCTATAAAAAATACATCATGCTCCCCTGTGACAACCGGTCATGTCAAGTCAGCTTACACATACATGGAGTGAAAATCAGCTCATCGTAAATCCTTAAGTTAAGAATGGGATGAGAGAAAAATATTAATAGGAGTAACTAAAGCAAATTTATTTCAATTAGCTGTAAATATTAATTTCAAACCAAACATTGAATCATTTGGTGTTACAGAAAAGCAATCAACTCCAGATACATCCCCCACCTTGTGTATCTAAAAATAACAATTCCAAATTTTGGGAAGAGCAATTGTGTATGTTGTCAACAATAGGGTGTGAAATAAAGATTTTACAAAGACACAAAGCATAATAGAAGTACTACCATAACACATACATTTGAAAAGCATTTCACAACTGAAACCAGAACCTACAGGAAAATCCTAAGATTAGCAATAAGCCTAGTTCATCATTCAGAGTTAAAGAATAAGTCTTTGCATAAAAATACAAATTTCCAGAAAATCCACAAAAAAGACATATCTTACATGCTAGGATGTATAAACTGAATACTTATAGTCACTTATTCAACTTTTAACATGAATATACTACAAAGAAATATATATTTGATCATAAAAAGCCATTCATCCATCTATCCATCTTCATCCATCCAAGAAGCAGCCAACATCTCAATGTGACAGACAGTATTCCAGAGTCTGGGAATACATACAACAGTTGATTCCCTAAGGGAGCTTATATTCTAGTGCAGAAAATAGATATAATACAAGCCACATATAAAATAATTAAGCCTTGAAAATATCCAAATAAGGAGAAACACATTTGAAAACATGCAAGATCAAGTTCCTTAGAGCTGGAAATATTTTGGTAAAAGGATAGTTAAAGAAATGGGAAAGAAATTCATCCAAATGTCTTAAATTTTGTATGCCTTCCACACTGCACCTCCGCCCTTGATCGGAAATGATTGGGGTTGAAGAAACAGGAGAACGTGGCAGTACAAGTCAGGAAAGGACACATGTTGGTACTAGCTAAGAAGAGTTAGAGGCCAGAAGGTAAGGACCCATCTGGTGTACATGTGTATCAAAGAGGGGAGAGCGCCCTGCTGAGGAATGACCTGGGGAACCATAGTCTGGATTTTGGTTTAGAGTGCCAGTTCTACCACTTACTAGTTATGCGACACTGATAAGATAAATACCTCCAGAGTCTCTTTATCTGTAAGACGGAGATTGTAACAGTAGCTATCTTTAGCTGTGCAGTGATGATTAAATGAAATGATACACTATCTAGTAAATGAGATGATTATCTATCTAGATTTACCATCTAGTAAAGCCACTAGAAGTGCCAGGCAGACAAAGATATGTCTTTCTTACTCTCAGTGTCTCCACAAGCCTTTTCATCTCTGTAAAAGAGTCATAATAATGCTTCTATCAGCTATTCCACAGTGTTGTTTTGAGGATCAAACCAATTGATACAAATTGATTATAAAAGTTGGACTATTATTAAACAGCGACATTTTCACCTGTCTTTACAAGCAGTATTCTTAAGTTAGCAACGAAAAGCCAGAACACCTTCCATCACCATATATTTGACCCCCCTTTACCAATAGGGTGATGAAAGACAATCTGACTGAGGGTGGAGGGCACACAAGGCAGCACACAGATCATGCATCATAGAAGTGTACACCTGAAACCTATACTATCTTATTGACCAATGTCACCCCAATAAACTTAAAAAAATCAATTAGAAAATATTTTTTTAAAAAGCCAGGAACAAAATATTTTTATGTTTCTAATAATGGTCGTCTTTTTAGGTTAAAAAAATCCAATAGGTTTTTTAAAAATTCCCTTTTACTTTTATCTTTTTCTTCTTATATTTTTTGCAGTTCTATATCAAGGAATTTTACCACAGGGACACGATTTCTCTGCTCACCACCTAGAGAAGTTAATTTTTATAACACGCAGGGAAAAGCACACGCAGGGTAAAAGAAATGCCTACCTGCGCTTCCTAGGATGAAATAAGAATGTGGTACTTAAATTTGCAACAAAAAGCCCTTTAAAATACCCTGTGCAGTTTGGTGAGCACAGAACTGGGTAGCGGCCTGAGAAGTTACCTCCCAACTCCTTTGAAGACTCGAAGTTAAAGTTGAAGTCACTTTATGCACCAAAACTACTGGGGTAACAGGGGTATCACTCTCAGTGATGTTAGATCAATGTCTAACTACTATGCTGTACATTTGAAACTAATATAACACTGAATGCCAACTGCAAATTTAATGAAAAAAATTTTTTTTAAAGATTGTATGGGATAAACTTAGATAAATGCTCTAAAGCCCAGCTCTCTCTTTTTTCTTCTCATAGTTTAGTATTTTATTGCTTAGGCTATTACAGTTGTCCCAATTTTTCCCCCTTTTCCCCCTTCCACCCAGCCCGCTTCCCCACTTCCATAGTCAATCCTCACACCGTTCACTGTCCATGTCCACGGGTCTTTCATATATGTTCTTTGACTAATCCCTTCACCTTCTTTCAAACAGCTCTCTTTTTAAATATTCTGTCAGCATAAGAATCAACCATTACAACATTACCTTATGACAGGCAAGGTTATAATTAATTAGATTATAGTTCATTTGAGAGTAATTACATTTTAGATTGGTGGCTCCCTGATGAGATTTTGTTATTTTCGGGAAGAGTTCCACAGATGGCTAATCTTATCAAAGCTGTTTTGATTCATGTTAACTCAAGTTTATAATGATATTTTGATATTTGTCTTCTACTTATGGGGGTGGTACGGTGGGGGTGGGGTCGTTACTGCTTACTGAGTCCTGTTGTTCCCTATACCAAAAATCTAAATCCCTGCTCCATAATACTCATGGTATTCACATTGTGACTTCTTTTTTATATGTGGAGCATTTAAAGAGAAAGAAGTGAGGAGATGTGGTCAAGGATACTATTAAACACAGTGATATTTCCTTCAGATGAAGCTGTCTTCTTAATACCTCCCTGTCTCTGTGAAAGGATTATCTTTTTTAGCATTTACCATATTTTGCCATGTATTATGCACACTTTTTTGCCCAAATTTTTGAGGGAAAAGTAAGGATGTGCATTATACATGGGTATAATGATTACATACCATGGTTATAATAATCTCATGTATAATGCTCACAAAACTGTGGGTGCACATTATACACAGCAAAATACGGGTAGTTCTTTGTTGATTTAATTCATTCTTTACAAGTATAATTAAGAAGGGATAATCTAACAAACCTAAACTTTATAGGTCTTTTTCTGCTTTAATGAAACCACAAGATAATACTCATCAAAAGCACCACTCCCCAAGTTAACTATTTAAGCTTTCTTCTGAACTGAACCACAATTCAAAGTAGTTTAGTATCAACATAGCCTTCTATCTTTGAAATAACAGGTTTATTAGCCTACTTTTCTCAGTTTTTGTTACAATTAACTCACTCAAAAAATATATTTATTGACTGTCTCTGCTGGACTTAATTTTTATACCTTGGGGGCGAGAGAATAGACAAGGCCAGGAAGTCTCTGCCCTCAAGGCGCTTACAATCCATAAAATTTGAATGATCAAAAAACGATTTCAGTGTTCAAACTAGTTTTAGAAGAGCAGTCACTTTTACCTGTCCAACATTTTGGTACTGGCTCGTTCCAGCTTCTCTAGTATCTGGGGAAGTTGGGTGTCATCATCATATGAACCTCCCCAGCCAAGAACCCGGGCAAGGTCATTTCCAGTCCCCAAAGGCAACACTCCCAGCTGACACTAGAAGAAAGCACAACAGGGAGGCCGCAAGCAGGGTGAGAAATAGGGGTTCTTACAGTTCTACACATCTCTGGTCAGCCGGTGAATATACATTCATGTTAGCTGGCAATAAAAAGAATTAGTACTTGCCTGTTTATTCAAGTTGAGCTTATCAATTTCTGACAAAACCCAACCTACACTTCCATCTCCTCCACAAACAAGAATCCGGAAATTGTCAAACTTCTGGAATAATCTTAAACTGAAAGTAAAAAGTATTTTATTTTAATATAAATAAATAAAATTCGCTTTCCCTAATTTTTTATTATTCTGCATTTACTGGTATTCAAGTTCGGATTAAATATAAGAACTCTTACATATTAATTATACTATAAAGTTAATTTAAGTATAGTTTTAACTCAAGCAAACCTCTTCATCATGAAGAAGAAAGGAGATTATAAGTAGAAATGGAGATAAAATCAGAAGGAAAGCAAAGGAAGAAATGGGAAAACAAACAAACAAAAAAAAGAAGCAGAACCCCGGAAAGACAATGAAAGGTAAGTGATACAAGATGGTAGATATAATGATTTTTCTCTTCCATTACCAGGCCATGTTATTGACTTAAGCACAGTAGATTACAGACCAGGGTTGGGACATCTAGGACACTGATGCTACCGAGTGGCACTGACCTTGCCAATGTGTCACTTTTTGTACTTGCTACCTGTTTTTCTCCTCCTCCTCTTCTTCTAGTCTCAGGCCAATCTCTTTACTTCTACCTTCCTTCCTCTCAAACTTGTGACACGGCCTACCTCCTGAATGTACGTACCTCAAGTATTGTGGAAAATCTAAAAAATATGTTATACAGACAATCTCAAGAAGTTTAAACAGAGGGAATTCCGTGAGTGGGAAAAATGAATGTCAAGAATATAAGATACTGGAACTATTAAGGATTGTTAAACAGATATACTAGAAAGGGCAGCAAAGCTAACCTGCAATGGAAGAGACAAAGGTGAGAAGAGAGGCCAGATTAGGAAATGCCAGCACCCAAACAAAGGAAAGCAAGGGATGTCCAAATAGATAAGGAAGGAGTTGGGTACACAAGAAACAGACCCACACCCATGTGACCAGGAGAGCATGAACTTAGCAAGAAAAAGACAATGGAACTAAGAAGGAAGACTCTGAAAAGAGGCAGAAAGAGAAACTGAGGAGAAAAATACAGGACAGGAAAGTGTTAAATTGTAAAACATAAAAGTCCTATTCAGGCACTGGCATCTAAAAATCCCCTTTTCTACTTTCATGTTCATGCGCTATGGAGACGAAAGAACCTTAGAGAAAAGCTGAATTGGCGTAAGTAAATCATAAAGAGATTGCTGGACTCTGGTTCAAACAACACAATACACAAAAATCATATACACACACTAAAAACATACTGAAGAATGCCTCAAGGCATATCTCCTCTCACTGAAAATATTACCTAATTTTTTTCAGATTTTACATTAAATGACATTCCAGAAAGCTGAAACAAACAATCAACAAAAGTATTTCTTTACCATTTGTATGAAGTGAGTCTGAAATCCTTGAGGAACTGACTCAGAGACCGATACAATAGGATACAACAGATACGACAGTATCTGTGCTTTGGTTAAATAATTGATTGTATTATTAATAAAATCGATACTACCCTTCCATACAAATCATTTTCTGAGGTTATTTTGTATTTCTATATTTACACATTTATCTTTCTTAGAGCTAAGCACCCTGTGAGTGCCTGTTTAATCTAAGTCTAAAACACTTTCTACACAAATTTTGGGATTTTTAGCACATAAGGAAGTTATACAAAATAAAAAAGGTTGTGTTAAATTTATAATTAGAACTTTTAAAAGAGAGAGAGGAGTGGGATATCAACACAGAGATGTCTAGGTGAATCTACAATTTTCATGAACTGAAGAGCCAGACATATTTCATTCTCAGTGCTACATTTCATTTAAAAGAGATTTATCAATAATCAATTACCCTAAATAAGGGCCTCCATTCATTAAATCAAACACCTGAGCCGGATTTAGTAACTGTTTAAATCGTCGGAGGAACTTTACTCCCTGATTATCTCCACTCTTAGAATTGACAAAAACCAATAGAGGACTAACACAGAATGAAAATGTTGCTCTACAGAAACCTGTAAAAAAACAAAGGACAAGATTAGTATGTATAGCTTTCTCTCTTACACTGTTAATAAAAATTAAGAGAAAAGAAGAGAAATTCATAAAAATAAAGAACCATCTTCATTACTTTAACAATGTTATAAATTAGCCGCCAAAATGGAGATAGGTTTATTATTTACATACTAAGAATACATGCTACCTTTTAAAATATGCTCTATGATGAAAAATTATAAAAAACATGATAAAAAATAATAGATAATTTGGGATATACAACCTGCCTTAAAACACTTAATTATAAGAAAAACCAATCATAGCCTGTGTTCATATTTACTGTTATAAAATATTTTAACTGCTCCTTGATGAGGCCTGAGCAAATATTTAAAAATTTATAAACAACAACAGAACCTTGATATACCATGGCTTGCAGAGGGAGGGCTTTTAATAGCACAGGTCTTGAAAAAAAATATCGCTTCTTTTGAGGCTTATATCCTTACACCTGTATGATCTATTGGCATAATTTACACAAAAAGTTTGAAACTCATAATGTACTTTATCAATGCAAAACATTGTTAGTATGTGGTAAAAACCTTTCATAATATGATTTGCTTGGAAGAAAGTTACTAATATGCTATTCCCAAACCAGTGTTATAAACAGGTTCCCCTCAGCACTTACAACTAAGTTGTGAGATTCTGGAAAAAGGGAATAAACATATGGTAATATAAGTTCCTGCAATGAAACTATAAGAAAACAGATTTCTAAGTAAGAGATAGGCTAATAGGCAGTTTCAATTATGGAGAAATGAAAACACTTATAAAAAATTAACCTTTTCAAATTACGTTTTGGTACAGAATAATGATCTTATTTGCTGAAATGTATAATCTAAAAGTCTTATACACAGAAATTTCACCAATGTGTAAATGTACATATCAACTTTCAATATACCAAGAATATCCATACACTGCTGCTACATACCATCAGAATCAGTGCTGTTTAGGGCAATTGGAGGTATGATAGACACCTTACATTGGCCAAGTGGACATATAGGATGGTATAAGTCTTTGCAGGCAGTGTGTACCTAATAACAAACAAATAACTTTTAAGAATCATGAAAACAAATCAATATTTAGTTATATCATAAATTATATCTAAGTAACTGATAATTTAAGGATCAACTACATCACAAAATGTTCAGAAATTCATAAATTACTTCAATGGCACAATATTAATGCTTCTAAGGAATGAGTTAATCATTTTAGAAATGGGAATTTGATTTTGTTTGCATAGCTTATCTTCATGATTGTCTCAGGGAAGTAGTATATAGTAATTTAGTAAATACTTGTGAAGGCAGGGAGAGGGGACGAGAGGAGAAAGGAGTGCAGAGGAAAGGAAGGAAAGAGTAGCTAACCAGTATGCCTCAATATCATTGTCCATTAAAAAAAACCAACTGATGGCATCTAACTTATAAAGTTCTTATAGAATTTAATGAAAATAAATAAAATTTATTGTATGTCCACTCTTTCTGTAATGATCCTATAACTTTCTATTAATACCTCTTTTATAACATTTTCATGTTATTATAGTTGTAAGTACATCCATGCCTATTTTCACAGCTAGACTTCTGACCTTGTATGGAAAAGGAAAAGGTCCTATTATTATACATTCATCTTGGGAAGTATATCAGAAGCACTCATTAAATGTAGAAACAAAGTTTCAAGGTCACTCCACATACTACTGAGAACAAAAAACACAGAGCTAACTTTACTCATTAAGTAGGAGCCAGGCAATTTTGAATACTTTATGCACTCAGCTCCAGGGCCTTTATGTTCTAACCGGTAAAAGCAGATATTCAATGCTTCATAAAACACTTAATATGGCATATATCATTAGTCCTTTTAGAAAACTGGCATATTAATGAAACATGCATATATCTAAACTTTTGCAAAAAATAACTGAAATTTAACAGTAATTCTTTTCCTGCTGATGACCTAATTTGGACAGTTTCCTAATATGATTATAATAGTTAACAGTCCAAATCGATTTTAGAAAAACAAGCATGCACAGATAGTTTTAAAAGGAATAAAAATACATAAAAACAGAGCAAAACTGAAACATATAACAATGTCAAATGAGAAAAATGGAACATAAAATTGTACCTTCACTATTTTTTACAGAAAATGTAAAACAATGTCCAGAGACTGGACAAAACTGGAAAAATTAGGAGCTGACTCAGTAGGGTTGTGGAACTATGGTTTGGTGTGGTTTTTCACTTAGATGCCTGTGTTTAGTCACTTAATATTGTACTGTTAGAAACTCCTCTATTTTAAAAGCAAAATCATATGTAAGCAAATAAATCAGAGTGTATAGGAAATGCAGAGTAAAAGGTGGTCCCTCACGGCTAATTAGCAGGGTGGGGCAGGAATGATTCTACAATAAGTTGGTATTTAAGTTAATCAGGAAAAAAAGAGCGAAAAGACATTCCAGGATGCCCCCTTCTAAATATGTAATAATATTATTAGTGAAATCTTTTAAAAGTGGGGGTGAATACAGTGAGCAAATAAAAAAACTAATTTACTCTTACTGATAAAGTTGGTAAAATTTAAAAAGTACTGACTACCTACAAGTACAAACCTATATTTTGCACTTAAAGACAATTTATATAATACTTTTTAAAAATACTTCATTACACATGATCTTTCTTTTTAAAAAGTTAAAAAAAAAAAAACAGCTGAAGTTCTTGAAGTAGAGAATCAGACTCCAGTAAATGTGGACTAATAAAAATAGCAGTAGGTGCATATGTCACTGGTTGTCCCCCTGTCCCCTGCCAAAACAAATCTCAAGTGGGATGAAAATTTAAAATCCTGTTTAGGTAGCACTCCTTTAAAATAAGGAATTGCAAAAGAGGGTTTTAGGGGTTGTGGTTACACCAAAACTCCAAAGAGAGAGAGTCTATATTAGTAGAGTCTATATTGTATTAAATGGCATAAGGGAAATAAAAAGTAACACGTATGGCTAACAAAAAGAGGTAACAAAGAATAAATAACAACAGGACAAAGAGAATCATGTTTGCTTTAAAAATAAAAAGGAAATACAGATTACTTATTAGGCCTGACTAAAATGTTATAGGAGTTACTTTCCTCTGTGGCCTATGGAATCAATCTCGTTATGAAATCAACACGTTACACTCACATCTCTTACATTTGCTGATCTACACCATACTTATTAAAGGCAATGGTTTTTTTCCCCACCCTTCTGTGGGGAGAGCGGAGCTGCTGACATGCAAGACACAAAACAAGACAAATCAGCCCAATGGAAGGTTATCACTGTTACAGTAGGAGAGCGGCACCCAGTGCTAAGATAAGCACTCACAGTTCCTGCCTCCTCGCCCTATCATCTTTTAGTCCCCATGCCACCCTCTGCGTGGCCTAGTTCACCCTCTGAGTCTTGCTCTGACTGCCCAGGTGCGTGCAGAAGCCCAGGCCTCACATAGTCCAGCACAGGTGATCTGCCCACTGGTGCCGGGTTATGTTGGGCATGCTTCCCTCCTCTTTTTTGCACAAGCAAGAAAGCTTTAAAATATTTACTGAAATGCAGATTTTAACATATGGCCTAACTGAACTCGGCATTCTGCAGAGAACATCCATAGGACTGTAGCAAAATTACATTTTGTATGTCAGTCAAAATTTGGCAGCTTTCTATATGCAGTATGTAGTAAAACAGGCCTGAAAATAGCAAACTACTAAGTGTAGCTAAACCATAATAAAAAACAATAAAACTGTGAGGAAGAGGTCTTTAGACAAAGGAAAAATATAACAAGAATAAGTATTACAAAAAGGATATTTGAAAAAGTAACCTGAGTGGAAGGAATATACCTTGAAAAAGATGAACATTACAGTGGGTACATGTGCCACCAGGCTCTGCTATGCCATAAATTCTTTGCCACTAAATCACATACATGTAGAAGTTATGAAAAGGAGCTCATTAAAAAGCACTCACCATCGTTTTACACCAAAGGCATTTCCAATCTTGTAGACGAAGTACACTGCCACACGTTTTGTCACAGACAGCACATTTGGCACTCACAGGCAAGTTACCCTCTAGCCACTGGTGAGGCATAGCCACCTGCAGAATAAAGGAGAGTCAAATTAAAGACTGTGGAATACACCATTCTTACCCTAGGGAAGCTATACAATAATTTCTTACTCCATGTATTCACTCCATGAATTTTTTACTTCATGGCATACATCCATTTACCCCACATTCATTGAGCATGTACTATGCCCCGAGCACTACAGAGGTACAAAGATAAGTAAGAGTAAATCTCTAGCCTTCTGAATTCATAGTACAGTTGAGGAGAAAGGAATGTAAAAGGCATTATTATAGTGATCACAAAGTGCTAGCAGATATTTTATTCAAGGTACAATGGAGGCAAGATTTTGAAGACAGGGGGCACTGTTGAGAGGAAGCCCCAAGGTCTGAGGAGTCAAGATCCAAGTAAACAGCCGAGCTAAGCCTTAGAAGACATGTTAGGTTTTCAGGTCTACACCACCAGCCTAGCAGCACTCCTAAGCCCTATTCACATTTCCCTTCAAATTTAAGTGCTGAAGGAACCAAGAAGGATCTAATTGAAAATAAAAATTCATAATTAAACAAAATCTTCCATTTAATACTACTAGTAAACATTCCCACCTAACTCTGTCATTATTTTCCACTGGACAGAAAATCAAAGAGAAGAGGTACTGGGAAAAGATCAGAGGCAGAACAGGGCTTACTCCATCTTCGTCTTCTATGATGTCCTTCCCGATGGAGGCCAGAGTCGTCCATTTGCAGTTATTTGTTGCCCTCACCGCACACCTTTTGTGAGCCTTGAATTTACATACTAAAAAAATAAAAGAGATAATTTCTAAATGCCTATGTACTTTTCAACAAATGACTAAAGGAAATCACAGCATGAAATTTAAAAGGTTGGAGGGTGGAAGAAAAACAATATTTTAAAAAGTTCAAATACTCTTCAACAATAGTAATGGTATTCTATAAAGCAAATATGGCTATGTATTTATGAAACACTTTTATCAAGCAATGAATTGCTACTTAGATTCCATTCAGCCATAAAAGAAAAACAGAAAGGAAATAAATACAAAAGAATTAGTTCTTGAGGAGAAAGGAAACAACATACACACACAGAACTAAATAAAATTCAGTAATACATGGGTGCTAGTAAAAGCCCATTTCTTACTCTGAATGGTAATTACAGTGTTTAATTTCTGAAAAATCCAATGAGCCGTACACTTCTGATACTTAAAAAGTGTGAAGATACCATTAAGATCAAAAGCAACGTAATTCAAAGGAGTTTTAAATTGCAAGGATGTCAAGACATCATGGGAAATAGCTTGATAGGGCTTACAAAGATGGCACTGTCCTTTGGAAGCACTGTGTTGGAATGACTACATTATAATGCAGAGGAAAGAAAAGATGAAGCGATGTTCTCACTGCATGCATCACTAATTCTCCTCAGCCAAATCACCATAAAGGTGCCTATAAAAAAAATAAGACACACTGAAAACTATATCACATGGATGAAAGAAACTGAAGAAGACAAATAAATAAAAAGATATTCTGTGCTCATGGACTGGAAGAATTAACATTGCTAAAATGTCCCTACTACCCCAAACCATCTACAGATTCAATGCAATCCTCACCCAAATTCCAATGACATTTTTTACAGAAGTAGAGCAAACAATCCTAACATTTACATGGAACCACAAAAGACCCCAATTAGTTGAAGCAATCTTGAGAAAAAAGAAGCAAGCTGGAGGCATCATGCTCCCTGGTTTGAAGAATAAACTCTGTTTCTCTGGTGCTCACAACTGTAAACCTACTTTTGCACTACCCTGTGTATTATAAAGCTGTAGTAATCACAACAGTATTGTATTTGCTATGAAAATACACACATAGATCAATGAATAAAGAGGCCAGAAATAAACCCACACATATATGGTCAATTAATTTATGACAAAAGACCCAAGAATATAAAATGAGGGAAGGACAGTCTCTTTAATAAATTGTACTGAAAAAACTAAATAGCCACAAGCCAAGTAATAGAGCTGGACTATTATCTTATTCCATGTACAAAACTTAACTCAAATTGGATTCGATACTTAAATGTAAGACCTGAAACCAAAAACTACCAAAAGAAAGGATGGGTTATAAGCTCGAAGAGGGACTACATCAAACTATAAAGAGTCTACACAGCAAAGGAAACCATCAACAGAATGGTAAGGCAACCTACTGATAGGAGAAAGTAAATGCAAATCATAGATCTGGTAAAAGGTTAACATCCAAAATACATAAAGAACTCATATAACACAATAGCAAAAAATAATTTGATTTAAAAAATGGGTAGCAGGATCTCTTAAGTGACATTTTTCCAGGTAAGACATACAGATGGCCAACAGGTACATGAGAAGCTTCTCAACATCACTAATCATCAGGAAAATGCAAAACCTCAGTGAAATATCACCTTACACCTGCTCAAATGGCTATTAGCAAAAAGACAAAAAATTCACTTGGAGTGAGGTTGTGAAGGAAAGGGGTCCCTTGTGTACTGTTAGCAAGAATGCAAACTGGTGTAGCCACTATGAAAACCGATATGAAGGTTCCTCAAAAAATTAAAAATAGAACTACCATATGATACAGCAATCCCATTTCTCAGTATTTATCTGAAAATGAAAACACTAATTTAAAAAGATGTCTGTACAACCATGTTTACTGCAGCATTATTTATAAGCTATGAAAACAACCTAAGTGCCCACTGAAGAATGAATGGATAAAAAAATTTGATATATATATGGAATATTATTCAATTATAAAAAATGGAATCTTGTCATTTGAGACAACATGGATGGACATTGAGGACAATATGCTAAGTGAAATAAGTCAGGCAGAGAAAGACAAATACTGTACAAACTCACTTTTATGTGGAATATAAAAAAAAACAACCACCTAGCTCATCGCCACAGAGAACAACAGTTTGGTGGTTGCTAGAGGCAGAGGATTGGGAGGGTACTCAGTATGGGTAAAGGAAGTCAAAAGGTAAAAACTTCCAGTTATAAAATAAGTAAGTCATGGGGATGTAACATTTAGATGGCAGCTATAGTTAGTTAGTAACACTATCTTGTATATTTGAAAGTTGCTAAGAGAATAAATCTTAAAAATTCTCACCACAAGCAAAAGAAACTCTGTAACTATATATGGTGATGGTAGCTAGACTTATTCTGGTAATCATCTGCAATACATACAAATATTGAGTCCAAAAAAAAGATAGAAATAAGAGGAAACAACCATGAAAGAAGCAACATAAATATGAAAAACAAGTAAACCACAGATTTGGAAAGTTAACCCTTACTTATAAAAATCAGGACTTGACTACTATTAAACTTATCCTTTTGAGGACACAAGTTACCCAAGTGCTAGTGAATACTGATATTATACGAGTTTCTGACTTTTCAGATAAATATTTAAAAGTATAGATCCGTCCAGTGAAATATAATAAGCTAACTTGTTAATTCTTATTGTAAGGTGGCTCCTGTTCACATGATACTGAATTTCTAACAGTAAGCCATTAATAAACTGGAAATGATGGGTTACGTACCATTCTTTTTAAGAAAACCTAATTTAATGTAACATGAAAACAAAAGGGTCAGGTAAAATAACAGATTTCTACAGTCAAATGTTCAAATGCTTCGGGTATCATGAACAGCGAATATATAATGCTCACTTACACTAAGCTGGTTTTTCCAGCTTAGAAATGTTTCATTTACATGCTTTGCATTTACATGCTTTTTCTGTATACGCTCACAAATTCTTTCCTGGAAATCATACATTTTTGCAATAAATGACTTTGTGACTAGAGGACAGACTTCATATAGACTGCAGTAATTATTCAATTGAATGTTATTGCTTATAAACAGTAGTGTAAAAAAGAACACTATAGGAAGTAAGCTTGGTTTCCAAAACAATTTCAGCATTTTGCTCCAATACAAGTGACTTTTTTAAAACTATGGCTAGTTAGTATCTCTAGGCTTTTCATCTGCTATAGCATTGCTCAAAAGTGTGGTCCCAGTTTTAGGTTTATATGCAACATAATCCTCAGGCTGCTTTTTAAGTACAAGTCAGTACTCAACATTAATAGCCAATAACTATTTTCTAAGAGGAAAAGAAGGAAGTAAAAAAGGGAACAGGGTATAATTTCATGGCTTTTTAAAATTTTGATACTCAAAATCAAGTAGCACATTAAAAAAAATCACAGATTTGTAATAATAAAGTGCTTCATGAAATGATCCTCAAAAATTGCAAGGTTACTTAATATAAAATAATTATAATAATAATACAAACCAGACTGTAATTATGGTCACAAAGAAATGGAAATGATTAATAGGCATCTTAATTTTGTTATGTAACAATTAAATATCTCCAAACAAGTTATTCTGAAATAAAGTGCTTTCCCCTAAACTGTAAAGCCATTATTTTAAAACTCCAAGACTTATAAAATATACTGATATGTAACAAAATTATCATTTTTTTATTGTAATATTTATTCAGCCTTTACTACACTGAATCCTTATGTGTTCAATCATGGTTAAGACAAAAATTTGTAAGTTGATATATTTGATACTGTTAATTGAAAAAAATCACCATTTAACTATTTTTGTTAAATTGCTAACTTAAATAAATATAAAAATAATTTTGCTCTGAAATTATAATTAACAACCTAAATTGATTTAAGGGATTATTTATGAAAAGTCTTTTGTCTTCTATTTTTTATTAATATATTTTATATGTGCAAGGTTTTAAAGTAATAGTTTTAGTTATTATTCAACACAAACCTAGAAGATAAATCCACATAGCCTTGTTTTATTGTGAAAAACAAGGACAGAAAGATTAAGTAAATTTAGCATGGTTTCACACACTGGAAGCTGGATTTCAGTCTAACATGAAATTATTCATTGTCACTGTTAAACAAATTTTTCTTGTATTTGTATCTTTATTATAACTTTTAAAGCCTTTTGCATCTTGTAGCTTTAGTTTCATTAAGTAGGATAATGATTAGCGGTAGGCGGGGGGCGTTCCCTAAAGTTTAACTGTGATTACAATAAAAGTATCCTAAATAGCACATTCTCATAAAATAAGAATGCAACTTTTTTATATAATTCACAAAATCCTTGGGATTTGTAAAACCTCTGCTACAGTTCTAAAAATACTAATGGTCAAAATGCTGTAGAAAAAGTGAATGCTGCTATATATTCTTCTAACAGTATAATCTAAAAGTGCAGTAATTGACACTTTTTTAAAAATCAAGACTTCATTATTAATGGAATAATATAACAATAAATTTATTTAAAGACTTAAAGTTTCTTATTCTCAACAGCTGATGTAATTTTCATTTTTCTTTAAAAATGCTTAGAAAAATATTCAGTCATCCCACTATCAATCTCAATATTTAATAATGTATAACTCAAATCAGAAGGGTACCACATAGTATCTCAAATCTGATATCATTTTTAGCATTTTTGGGATGAGAGACTAGATGGTAAGAGTAAAAAGACCTTCAAGATAATGCTACATATCACAGACCTGGCAGGACTTACTCAGAGGTACAGGACCCTTTAATATTATTAGAGTCGTAAAGGCCAATTATAGCTTTGTTTGAAATCATCCTTAAAATCTAAAAAAAAATATTTCATGTCTCCTCCAAATGTTCATTTTTACGCTTTTAATGCATCAGATCATGATGCAATCTGTAATTTTTTACTTGATACATTTTTTATAAAACACAGTTAAAATTTCTATAATTTACTTGACTAGAAAAGTAAGTTTATTGTATGTATTCTCTCATTTAGTTTCCATAATGTTTTATGAAACAAAAATGACTATTATCCCCATTTTATAGACGAGAAAACAGAAGTCTGAAAAAGTTGAACTATTCCCCCTGGTCACAATGTGAATGCTGGACACAAAACTGGAACCCAGACGTGTTAAGTGCAGAGCTCTGTTCTAAACCAATATGCTGTGTAATTTTAAGTCAATGAATTAATGACATCCCTCAAATTTTATCATTTAAAATGAAATAAAACTGTGACTCTATTTTATTATTTAATTATAATAAATTTATATTTTTAATTACTCAAGAATTTTTCATATTAGAGAAAAAAAGCTTGTAATAGTATTATAAATAGTTCAGAAATAGTACACAATGATATGATCATTGAGGTATGAAATTAAATAAATCTAAAGAAGTTATGAGTGCCCTGACAAGTGTGGCTCAGTGGGCTGGACGTCTCCTACAAAGCAAAAGGTTATGGGTTGGATTCCTGGTCAGGGCACAGGCCTGAGTTGTGGGTTCAGTCTTGGTCAGGGCACATAATGAGAGGCAACCAATTAATGTTTCTCTCTCACATCAATGTTTTTCTCCCTCTCTCTCTTTTTCCCTTTCTCTAAAAATAAATAAATAAATAAATAAATAAATAAATAAATCTTTAAAGAAGTTATGACTTTCTCTTTGTAATTATTTCCTTTAAGTGGTCATTGCTCTTAAGTTAAAAAATAGACTGCAAATTCTATAATGAAAACAACAGCACAGACCTTATTTTTACAAAACTTTAAGTGAAAGAATGGCATCAATTTAAATTAAACAAACGTGAAATAAAATAAAACAGGGGCTAAAACAATGCAATATAAGTAACAATCGGAAATTGTGGCAGAGTATAGACTGTCCTCACAGAAAGTTTTGTTCTCTGTTATCAATCAGAACAGCAAAAGAATACTTAAAACTGGAATGACATACAAAGTCTAGAGAATTCTTTCTAGTCAGTAGTTACTAGTTCCTCGAGAGTGAAATGCTTCTTTTCAAATTACTTTATATTGCCTCTTCCTGAGCCAAAATATTAGTCTTACACAAGCAAAGCTCCACTTTAAGCCACCATAAAACTTAACACTCTGTTCCCACTAAGTTGCTCCCAGCTACTGCTTCCACCCAAGGAAAATGTTTTCCCGTGGTGATTGTTCCTTGCTCACTTCTCAGAAAAACCAACGGCAGCATGTTTACAGTATGGTCAGTATTGAGGGACAGCGAGTGCGATGCTACAGTACCTTCGCAGGACAGGCCATGGGAAGTAACCCCAGAAAGACTCTCTCGGCACACGTTACAGAAAGTGGGTCGGGCGTGGGAGCAGGCGTACCAGTTGTGCATCCCTGAGAAATGTTCCACATTAAACTGGGCCACCTAAAAAGGAGATGTTAGCACAGATCTGCCAAACAAGAGAACGAGACTACAGACACTGAACATTTGGAATGTATATAGTTATGATTAAAATTTCAAGCCCTTATTTTAATAACTAAAATACTTTAAGTAAAACTAATGCAATATCAGGTTTAACCAAGTTACTGAATGAATCTACACATACTTATTTCTGCAGAATATAGCATCAGCTCTTCAGTTAACATTCTCTAAGAACACAAGATGACAGAAGAAATACTACTCTACCTCGTAGGGTTCTCTGGTCTGTACAGACTTCAGAGAGCTGATCCAATCCTCCATCTCCTTTCTGTTCTCAGCGCATAGCATTAGTCTTCTGAATGGAGTGATTATCTGAAAGGAATAATTCAATCTAATGATTGTTAATAACCAACAGAGAGATTATTGCAAAACCTAACATCTTGCACGGTAGTTCCATTTTTAATCTCTGAGTCCTCATTTCCTTGATGAATAAAGTAAGCATCTCTATAAAGTAAATGAGTTTAGTTCTATGAGTATGATGCAATGTGGTCTAGGAAAGAAAATTCTAAGGAAACTTTTCTTGACTATGATCTCATTGCTACGTACTCATCAGGCTTTTTAGCCCTTCACCAAAGTCTATGAACACAAATAAGCAATGTATTCTTTCTCATTTCATGAAATATATCTTAAAAATTGATTCTAAATATACTTCGAAATCATTTATGGTAAGCTTAGAATTAATGCATAGCTATCAATGTGGAATTATTATAAAAGCTGAAAATCAAAGGAATGTACTGTAATATGGTTTTATAATTGGCTTACATAATATCAAGAACATTGTTATTAAATTGCCTACTTTAATATGCTTTATATGAAGGACTTTTTTTCCCATTGTGTGGGACCCCACTTTACTAAGTTTTATTGAGAGCAGGGAGGAAGAATTAAAGGAAAAAATTGTGACTTTCATCTGTTTTCATATCATTAAAGAAGGCAAATTAATTAAGAATCTTAATGCAAGTGAAATGGAAATTTCATGCTGTTATAGCACCAAAAGTGATTCAAAGTAGTATTCTGAAATAACTTGAAAGAGCTCCCATTTATGTGTGAAATATTTTCGTTGTAATCTTGAGGTTAATAAACCCTAAGCATTTACTACAATAAGGGACCATTTATTTACTTGTGGGAAAGGAGCAAAAATGTTACCTTCCTACCCAGAAACTATTCCCAAATAATAAATTACATATTTATTTATATAGAAAATAAATTTTCTCAGGTTAAGAGCCATTTGATCAAGTGATAATCTATATATTGCATGATAGAGATTTCCCAAGTCATGAAAAAACAATAATCATCTTATTAAAAAAAAAGGAACCCTTTCCAAAAGGAGTAAACTAGCAAGCCTCAGTCACTACTGTTCAACTTAGAAAATAAGTCCATTACTAAAAACTATAGAAATCAGCCCAGTCTTAGATACTCACCAGTCACAGCCTCCTCTCATTTATCATTAGCTCAGGCTACACAATCCTTCCTTAAACCACGAGGCCTTAAATACATCTGACAGGCACTCCGACTTACATACAGCTAGCCAGAGTCACATGGAAGAAGAGCACCAATCGTAGCTTTGGGTTTTGGGTAACTGCATATGAGATTGAACAGAACCTCCCCTTTGCATTTTCTTCTGTTTTCCAGTACCCTCTTTGGATAAAGCTTATTAGCAGTTGGTCACTTCTCTTTGTGAATAAATAGTTAATGCAAAGAGCAATGCCTCCCTCATTACTTAGGAGCCAAATGGATGCTTTATTGCTTCAAATGTTTTTCTAAGACAGCTCACCAAAAGCAGAAGAGCAATACCATTAGACCATAATACACTCCTGGCTCTGACAACTGGCACTCTCAAAATCTCAACGTTTCACTGGAATGAATACATCTGATATTTTATTTACCTCAGGTGCTTTATTTATTTGTTTGTTTGTCTATTTGTTTGTTTAGCTATCCTATTTAATATAACTATATAGATATTCCCTCTCTTTCATTCTGATGTTATAGTGAGATAAAACATTACTTAGATAAATAAACCTGGTTTGCTATCTTATTCTTTTATTCACTTTTAATTTTAAGTAAAGCAGGATGTCTGAGGTGTTAACTATCTTTAATGCCTTTACAGTCTTTCCAAGTTATCGTGAATTCAATAAAAAAGGAGAAAGAGGGATAAATAGCTTCTCATTTTTGTCACTTTTGGAACTACATAAAGTCTCAATTCTAAAGGATTTCAGCAATAAGAATCATGCATGTACCTTATACATTGATGACATAAAATATCAACAATTTCTCCTTTTTAATAAAAATTTGTTTAAAATGGATAATCATAAGCAAGTAAAGATTATATAACACATTTTAAAAAATAAGTTTTTAAAAGCTAAAAGAAATTAGAAATAATTTTGATTTAAGAAATCCACTGATTATGAAGTTACATTAAAAGAAGTAGGTATGAAAAAGAAAATGCTTCATAAGTCATGTGATGCAGAGGGGTCTGGCCTGTGCGGCTGTACCAGCACCTCAGCAAGCAGCCCAGAACTGTCAGGGCCTAACGGAAGCCAGGCTGCCCAGGAAGCCTGGAATATTTCCGCAGTGGGCCCTTTCCCCTCTCCGGTCATCCTTCAGTAGCCATCAATGCTCTGAGCTCCCTCCCCACCTTTCATTTAAATTCTTCCCCAACCCCAACCTTGGTAAGAAAGGGAATGACAGTTGTTAACTGAGAGGCACTAGTTGTATTCTAACTGAACCCCGCTACAATACAGTGGTTTCTCATTCAAATCTTTAGTAGGAAAACATTTGGGGAGCAGCAAACTCTGAAATTTTGCGGGGAGGGGTTCTTACTCAGAAAGTACATCTGACTCAGCCTTTTTATTCTGACAAATGAATAGGATGGAGAGATGGAAGGATAAGGAGATGAGGGGAGGGAGTTACTCCCACGGAAGACTGCCTGAGCCTGTTGGGGGCCAAGGCCAGGACGTTTCTGGAACAAGAGGACTTTTTACATTACTTGAAGAATTGGAAGCTTGCCTCTCTTAAAGTGTCTCTTAGCCCCCATCCTCATCTCAAGCCCATTCTTCTTCTCTCTTCCTGGGAAATTATTCCCATTCCCAAATAATTTTTTTCAGGCACATCCAAATTTACTTCATTAATTAGTTTTTTCAAGCTCTAACCACCACTCCCACCTCAGATCCCAGAACATATCTGCCTGTCGGTTCAAGCATCCCAGCATTTACTGAGCACATACTGCAGGCCAGAGCTCAGGGGGTATGAACCATGTGAGCTTTGCCTCAATAATCTAAAAGGAAGACAAGGAAGCAAACCAAGATTTACTTGTCTGAAAAAGTGCTATAGAAGTAGAAGTACAACGGAGAGACATCGAATCAGTCTGTCTCCTAAATGCTGCCTCAAATAACATACAAACTTTCCATTAATAAGGATATTACTCTACTTCAAGAGTTACTGACCTAAAAGAGTTAAGCAACAATTCTACTATGTGCATAAGAATCAAGATTTTCCCAGCCTAGTAAAGCCTGTGACTATATGAGAGATATAGGCAATATGGCATTAAATACATAAAATTTTATAGAAGAGTAGCATTACAGTTAAGACTTTAAATACAGAAGCATTTTAATTTGATGTAGTCCCATTCATTTATTTTTTTTCCAGCTTCCCTTGCCCTAGGAGAAATATCGGACAAAATATTGCTATGTAAGATATTGGAAATCTTACTGACTGTGTTTTCCTCTAGGATGTTTATGGCATCATGACTTATAATTATTTTATCCATTTTGAGTTTATTTTGGTGTATGGTGTAAGTTGGTGGTCTAGTTCCATTCTTTTGCATGTCCCAGTCCATTTCTCCCAATATCATTTATTGAAATGACTGTTTCTACTTCACTGTATGCTCTTGCTTCCTTTGTCAAATACTAATTGACTATAGAGACATGGATTTATTTCTGGGTTCTCTATTCTGTTCCATTGATCTATGTGCCTGTTCTTATGCCAGTACCACACTGTTTTGATTACAGTGGACTTGTAGTATAGTTTGATATCATGTACTATGATCCCTCCAACTTTGTTCTTCTTTCTCAAGATTGCTGAGGTCGTTTTTGGTTCCATATAAATTTTTGTAATATTTGTTCTAGATCTGTGAAATATGCCATTGGTTTCTTAATAGGAATTGTGTTGATTCTATATATTGCTTTGGGTAGTATTGAAGAAACCATCTTCAAAATGAAAAGGGAACTGACTGTGTGGAAGAACATATTTGCCAATGATACACTGGACAAGGGTTTAATCTCCAAAATATATTAAGAACTTATATAACTCAACACTAGTTGACAAATAATCCAGTTAAAAAATGGGCAAAGGACCTGAACAGACACTTCTCCAAGGAAGACATGGAGAGGGCCTACAGACATATGAAAAAATGCTCAACATCACCAACCATCAGAGAGATGCAAATTAAAACTACAATGAGATATCACCTCACACCTCTCAGAATGGCTACCCTTAATAATCAACAAGTACTGGCAAGGGTATGGAGAAAAGGGAACCCTAGTGCACTGCTGGTGGAAATGCAGCCACTGTGGAAAACAGTATGGAATTTCCTCAAAAAACTAAAAATGAAACTGCCTTTTTGACGTAGCAATTCCACTGCTGGGAATGTACTTGAAAAGTCTCGGAACATCAATTCAAAAGAAATTTATGTACCCCCATGTTCATAGCAGCATTATTTATAATAGCCAGTACTTGGAAACAGCCTAAGTGCCCATCAGTAAATGAGTGGATAAAAAAAAAAAAGTCTGTGCGTAACATACACAATGGAATATTACGCAGCAGAAAGGAAGAAGGAATTCCCACCTTCCGCAACTGCATGGGTGGAACTGGAGGCTATTATGCTAAGTGAAATAAGCCAGTCAGTGCAATACAAATACCATATGATCTCACTTATAAGAGAAATCTAATAAACAAAATAAATTAGTGAGCAAAAGAGAACCAGAAGCATAGAATCATAGAACTGACTGACGACTGTAAGAGGGGTTTGGGAGGCAGGGAATGATTGAAGGAAGGTGAAGGGATTAGTCAAAGAACATATATGAAGGACCAACTCATGGACATGGACAACGCCTGGAGACTGATTATGGAAGTCGGGGGCAGGCTAGGTGGAGGGGGTGAAGGAGCAAAAGTGCTATAATTTTAACAATATAAAGAATAATATATTTTTTTAGACTTTAAATGCACAATCATGCCCAGGAGAAAAAGATTCATAGCCAAATCCTATGCTGGCTGCTCAGTGAAGGAATTACAGATTATTTTAATTGTAAATTTTTATT